TCTGTGGCAGATAGTACCAGGGCATTCTTGTTATTTGCCACTTTGGTGTCGACTCTTTAAGCTGCAGTCCCAGAGGAGTGGTATATTAGAATAAAACGGATTTTTTGACAATCCTGTGTGTGTGTTTTAATAATACATAGCTGATTACAGCTCTTTATACACTGTTTACACAAATGTATAATTCGTCAGTCGTTAGTCGTGGGTCCAGCTTCACTCTAGACGGATTGCCCCCTAACTGCTTTGTTCATGAGTAAGTGAAAAATAATACAAAACATCCTATTTAACATACTAGGGGAAAAACATGTCAGTCCCACCAAAATCTTGAAGCTTGCACACACAACGTAAATGCATAAAGCAGTTGTCAGATATGCCAACACTTACAGTCCCACACTAGAATTGCAGCTCACTGTTGATTTAAGCAGTCAGTTACGAAAGCTGACAAAGTACATGCAGTACTGCATAAGTGCACGCCATTCCGAAAGTAATTCATTACCCACAATTCTTAGTGCAATTCACAACACAGAACTGTAGCTGTCACAGCTCACAGTGTCTCACCGAGCATTCAATTCAGTAGCCCCGCGACGAAACCGTTGAACTGTCGTTCAGAAATAAGAAATTAGCATCGGCAAATCCTGACTGGAAATTTACCCCAAAAAAATTATTCAGAGCGTTAATGATATGCCAGGGATCTGCCATACTGGACCGGAAACATTCTTAATACCTAAGTGCCATTTTTAGGTCCTGTTCTGGTGCCGTTCAATCTTGTAACCCAGCTTAATACTTTCAGTACCAAACAGGTGTCTCTTGAGCTCATTCTATTCTAAGAATCCTTACAATAAGCAGTCAGTGCATGGATATGAGGGTTAAAATGATATCACAATGGAGGAGTTTGAAATCAGAATTGGGGCCAACTGTTAAGTGTAGTAACTGGGTGGATGAGAAGTGGTTCAGAAAAATAAAATATCCTGTCCATGTTGAAGCCAGTCAACGCATGGTGAGTTTCTTGGCACTGACTAAGTGAAGACGTCTCTGCATATATATATGCTTGACGTGTATATAAAGTGTAGTTCGTTTGATATATATATATATATATATATATATATATATATATATATATATATATATATGTGTGTGTGTGTGTGTGTGTGTGAGTATATATATATATATATATATATATATATATATATATATATATATATATATATATATATATATGGGTCATTATAAGGTATTTCCTAAGACCCTTCACAGTGACTATATATTCGTAACTGCGCAGTTACTGTGTCGAACCCACACTGCAACCCCAGATGTTAGTATCGAAACTAAATAATCACAAGAGCTACGGTAGTAAAGAAAGTGGCTAGGCCGGACCAGAAGTCTTGAGTTTTAAGTAAAGAACTGACATCGCGACACTCTGGACATTTCCATAAGCGCTGCGTCCTCATCTTCAGCTGCCATCAAAGAGTTCCAATTCCCATGGTTCCAGTAGTATTTTGATTACTGATCCGTCACTCTCTGTGTGTAGAGTTTCGACCAGATCCCGAGGTCACTCCTAGCTGTACTATTCTGTTCATACCATAATGATGCTTAAAACTAGAATTTCTGTACATAGTTAAAGGACTCATCTTTAATCAATCAATCTTCATCGCGCCCACAGGCACTTAAGGCAGACAGACCCAATACGACTCTGAGCCATTCTCTTTATCTATAGTTAAGTCCATTGCGTAGCCTTGAGTTCAGCCTCAAAGATTCGCCTCCATGTGCCTATGGCCCTGCCTCTTCGTCGATGTCCTTGTGGTGTCCATTGCATTGCCTGTCTCGGACGTCTGTCTTTAATTCGGTGGCGTGTCCAGTCCACCTCCGTCTTCGTTTTTTTTTAAATATAAATTTACATCTTCTAAGTCTGTCATTTGTTGTAATCTAAAATTGCTGATTTTATCTTCTTATGTGAAACCCAACAATCTTCTGAGAAGTCTTTCCTCAAAACCTTTAAACATGCTCTGTGATCTTATCTATCTTTTGTTGCTGATGTTCTTTACTTTGGCTGATGACACAGATATCATTTGCACAGTCCAAATGTTCCAGGTGTTCGAGAAGGTTCCACTGAAGGCCTGTCCGTGTGCCCGTGGTTGCTTTTCTTTTTAATAACTAACTAACTAACCAACTAAACTAACTAACTAAACTAACTAACTAACTAACTAACTAACTAACTAACTAACTAACTAACTAACTAACTAACTAACTAACTAACTAACTAACTAACTAACTAACTAACTAACTAACTAACTAACTAACTAACTAACTAACTAACTAACTAATTGACTGAATGACTGACTGACTGACTGACTGACTGACTTAACTAACTAACTAACTAACTAACTAACTAACTAACTAACTAACTAACTAACTAACTAACTAACTAACTAACTAACTAACTAACTAACTAACTAACTAACTAACTAACTAACTAACTAACTAACTAACTAACTAACTAACTAACTAACTAACTAACTAACTAACTAACTAACTAACTAACTAACTAACTAACTAACTGACTGACTGACTGACTGACTGACTGACTGACTGACTGACTGACTGACTGACTGACTGACTAACTAACTAACTGACTGACTGACTGACTGACTAATTAACTAACTAACTAACGAAGTAACTAACTAACTAACTAACTAACTAACTAACTAACTAACTAACTAACTAACTAACTGACTGAATGACTGACTGACTGACTGACTGACTGACTGACTGACTGACTGACTTAACTAACTAACTAACTAACTAACTAACTAACTAACTAACTAACTAACTAACTAACTAACTAACTAACTAACTAACTAACTAACTAACTAACTAACTAACTAACTAACTAACTAACTAACTAACTGACTAACTAACTAACTATCTAACCAACTAAACTAACTAACTAACTAACTAACTAACTAACTAACTAACTAACTAACTAACTAACTAACTAACTAACTAACTAACTAACTAACTAACTAACTAACTAACTAACTAACTAACTAACTAACTAACTAAACTAAACTAACTAACTAACTAACTGACTGACTGACTGACTGACTGACTGACTGACTGACTGACTGACTGACTGACTGACTGACTGACTGACTGACTAACTAACTAACTGACTGACTGACTAGCTAACTGTGGTATACACACACTGTGGCGAATACCAGCACCTGTTTTAGACATTAGTGGTGATTATCGACACTTTCTTTTATATTTAAACATAATTTTCTGACTGTAAAATTACTGTCTCTGCCCCAAGCTCGCAGTGACTTTGACTGCTAGACAATCTGCAATTTGTTTCCGGTTTTCTGCAGCCTGAGTCAATGATCCTGTATGATTGCAACTCTTGTCAATGTTGCCAACACAACGGAGGATGTTCAAGTGTTTTTTATAGAATTCTCTACGTTTTAGCTGTCTGTCAGAGGTCGCCTCAAAACACTTTTAAAATAGTGCGTTGGTGCCGTTTCTTATAGTTCTCATTTATATAACTCTGCCCCAACACGGGGCGCAATTTTCTATTATTGGAAAACCCCACACCATTGCAGTAATCGGGGGCCCTTAAATAAATTATTAGTTGAACGGGGTGTGTGTGACGTGTACCCGGGCAATTCTCATCCGAATGATGGCAATTTGGGTCACCGGGTTTTTATCGCTCGGTGTATGTTCCTGGCGGGGTTGAAGGTCACCCACTCGCTCTTACAGTTCGAAAACAAAATTATGAAAAGACGCTGCACATTTGAGAAGAAATCTGCAGCACTAACCGAAAATTTTTCACTGACGGCAGTCTCATCCATTTGAACACAAGGTTTGTGGATTGCTGTTTATGGCAGTGACGTAGAAAAAAAAACAGATATAGGGCCGGGGTATCATCATTGAGGTGGTAAAAAAAAGGCAAAAATATGTGTTTATAATAAAACACATATCGTTAAACTTATATGGTGTGTCTGGGTATGAGTCTGTGTTAGTGTTTGCGTTCTGTGTGTGTAAAGGGGGGGGGGGGGGGGTAACTTTCCGCGGGGTACGACTAGACTTTGTCACGCCACTGGTTGATCTCCCCTGTTGACACACAAGCAGATACCTCGGAGTATAAAAGTGAATCTTATCAGAACTATTTTTTGGCCAACACTATCCTATCAATGCCAAATGTGGACACTTACATCCTCGATTGAACGTAAAATTGTTACAACAGAGATGAAAAGCCTTAAAAGAGCTGCAGAAGTTTCAAGTAAAGACAGAATATGAAATCATGAAATCAGACGAATGCTAGGAATAAAGCCAGTCTTACAGGTCATCAAAGAGCAACAGAGGAAGATGTTTGGACACCTAACAAGAATGCCCTAGTACTATCTGCCACAGCGAGCCACACTAAAACGTTACAACGGGTATAGAGCGAGTGGAAGACCTAGGAAAATATGGAGTGATGGCATTAAGAACAGCCTTACAGAAATGAACATCAGTCTTAATAGTGCTCTTGACAGAGCTCATCAACGAACATTACATCTCCCCCCGAAACTTCACTGAGGTACAAGGTGGAAGAGAAGAAGAAGAAGAAGAAGAAGAAGAAGAAGAACTGGTTCATGAATTCAAGTTTTGCTTTGAACCCGAGCGATCGAGAACCCAGCTTCAAGTGTACATTCATGCATACACATACGTATGTCTTAGTAGATTTTGTCTTCAAATAAACTTTTACTTTTATCATATGCATGGTAAAACGCTGTGCAGTCATTAAGATTTTATGAGTTTACGACCATGGCTACCAAACCATTATCAAGGGAGGCTAGCCCTGAAAATCAATACCAATCTCTGGCTTGCACACGTCTGCTTTATTTGGTCCGTTTATTTAGATCCGTGTTGCTGTGTGGGCTGTTTACTGGGTGTCCAGGCAGGGAATATGTGCTGTATCTGATAAATATTTTGTTTATTTTGTGTTAGTGACCGTTATTCTTTAATATATGGGAGTTTTCAAGAATTTGACGCTTCTTGTTTGGTGTGTGTTGATACAGCAATGTAAAGGTAGGCGTGTCAAGTTATGGTTTTCTGTGTACATTTGAGTTTACTACAGTGAACTTTAGCACGTCAGTAATAAGATGGAAATGCACCGTCTTAGTATGACTCTTTCTGCCTGAAAAAACGAGCTATTATCTTTTAAACATAAAAGGTACTTTGATTTTAGCTCACCCAAAACACGGGAAACCTTAAAATCCCCGGGAATGTCCAATATTATTTGGGGGTCTGCGTTAGAGTGAGTCGTTCATTACAAACAGTAACAACATCCCTGTGATATCATATGGATGAACTGTTAACGTACTCTACGTATTTATGTGTTTTGTTAACAGTTAAAGTTTATACTGGGGTACACAGTTTAAATCTGAATAACCTTTTTTCTTATGTATCTTGTCATGTTTGATACATTTTTCTTCATTTGCAATTGAAAAAGGCAGTTGGCATATCATGTTGGGTTTTACAGCTAGGCTGTAATATATACCCATTTCGGCCTAGTACATTTGATTTCAGCAAGTACTTAATTAGTTTGTTTTTATGGGGGAAAAAAACATGGAGGAGGGTGCTAGAGAGTAAAGCTAGACAGATGGGGAGGACATGGAACAAGCTGCATGCAGTGGCGAAGAATATAATGGAACAACTGGGCGTGAGTTGGTTGAGGGCCTTTGCTCCATTAGGGTTTAGAAAGACAGAAGAAGAAATACTTAATTAGTTGTCTGTTATGGGATAGTGTGTCTGCCTCCCCCCCCCCTCACCCCCCTCACCCTTTTCTTCCCCTTCAGGGCGGGTAAGGATAATTATTTGTGCACACACCTTCAGACGTCAGCATGAATCAGTAATAACTAGTGGACATTGTAACAGTACAGCTGTCTTAGTTCTGACAGTTAACAAAATTAATAACAGTCAGGTCACGAAACGTTATGAAATACAGGCAAGCAATACAGGTATACTAACCCATCACCATACAGATAGTCCACACATATTCCCCTAGTTGCTATTTTTAGTTTTCTTCCTCTTCTTTTCTTCTATTAGTCTTTCCTCTTGAGCCTAGGGTGGTGTATTGGGCATAGCTCTCCATGTCCAGTGGTTTGTTGCCACCTGTTTTAGGTCTAGGATATTTATTAGGCCCATGGTTGAGCCATCCTTGATGATGGTTCTACTCAGGGTCTCTCTTGGTCTTCCCCATTTTCTTTCCCAACTGGTGACCATATGAGGGCTTTATGGTGGAGTCCTGTCTAATCCGTTCTGAGTTCATGGCCAGTGTAGTTCCAGCAGCGTTTTCTTATAAAACTGGACATAACATTTAGGGCTAGAAATCTGATTTTAAAACAAAGGATTTTTTATGATAGTGGCTTTGTTGGGTCATCTATCAACACCCTTAAGCCAGTTTAGAGGGAAACGTGTTCCGTCATCTTGGCCCAAACCAGAACTGTGCTCACTCTTTAAAGGGAGGTTGGCAAGTGTCTTGTGGTTTACGGCTAAGCTGCAACATCTGCGGCTGTCAGCCCAATACATGTGATTTCAACAAACCCTTAAATAGTCACCTTTTAAGACATGCTTGGTATGGAACATATGGCTGTGAATCCTGGACAATCGGTAGGCAGGCCAAACAATTTCTTGAGGCCTCAGAGATGTGGTTGTACAGAAGAATGCTTAGAATTCCTTGGACAACCAAAAAGAGCAACAAAGAGGTTTTAAAAGAGGCGGGAGCCCGAAGACAACTTATCACAGACATCAGAAGAAGACAGTCATCATTTTTCGGCCATGTTATGAGAAGAGGGAAAATAGAACATGTTGTGACCACTGGAAAGATCTGTGGAAGGAGGGATAGAGGAAGACAACGAGAGAAGATGCTTGACAGTCTTGTTACATGGCATGGAAGTGTGTCGACACACGAACTGATACATGCTGCAGGAGATCGCAGATTATGGAGAGGCATGATTTCCCACGCCAGTCGGCAAGGCACCTGATGATGATGATGATGATGTTATGGAACAAGGAATTAATCCAATGAACAATGACTGAAAAACTTAACAAAATCTGGAAGCAGAATTACGTGCACAGAACAACACAAAAGGACGTTTTCTTGGTATTAGCTTAACTGCAGTCTTCCCTATTTTTACCACTTGTTAAGGAACAACGGGTCTATTTTTCCCTCCAGAATAAAACCCTAGAACCCAATTAGGGAACTTTTGTTGGTAAATATAGTCATATCTGTCCATTTAATCACCAGAAGTTACAAATAGTACCAAAACTGATAAATAGATCTTTCGAGGGCTCGCCGGTGTGTGGTGAAACTGAAATAACAATTTTCTGGGGTTTGTGCTGGATGGCAAAACTGATGTTTTGGTTAAAGTCAACAGTGTTAATATAAGTCTACTTTTCTCTCTCATTTTTTGGGAGATTGTTGGCTTGTCCAGTTTTTCTGTCTTCCTCTTCTGGTATCCTTGACTCATCCTTTATGTAATTGCTCTTAAGATTTGTTTGTTTTGGTTGAGGATCTTTGACTTATCCTCACATTTTTCCTTTGCTTCCTATTTTGGGGGTCTCTGGCTCATTCTGAACTTGATTTTTCCTCTTACACTTTAATATTTATGCTCATTCCTATATGCCTCTTGAGAAAAGAAACCCAGAATCTTTGGATTATCCTCGAGTATTCTTCTTCTTTTCTTCTGCTAGGATTCTTGACCAGTCTTTACCCCTGTTATCCAAGAAGACTAAATCTAGTCACTAGCAGTTGTGACACAGTCCCGTATTTCAGCCTGTCTGCAGTCACCTGTTCTTGAAAAATCGTAGTTAAATCCCATTGGTTCTGTGTGCAAGGAGTGGCTGACCAAGTGTTTAAGAACGCTGGGCTCTAACACAGAAGACCTGGGTTTCAATCTTCTGTAAAATGGTGGATTTTTTTCTGACGGGCAAAAATAAGATGCTTGTCTGTACAGTCATGGCTTTAGCCCTAGCGATGCAACCCTCAATCCTCGGGCTCAAAGGACCCCACTCCCCTCCCGCCTATACTACAAAAGTGGTAAATATAGGCAGTGATGGCAGTTTTTGTAAATAAACAGGTTCTATGTGCACCTGTACATACTAGACCAGGATAGGAATATAGTAACTAAAAATAGTATTAGGAGGGGTTCTTATTGACCCCAATGACTTTTTAAATCTAGGTTGATGCCCACCTTGCCTGCTTATTGCCTGAGCCATGGTGGCATAGTGGCTAGAAGCTCATCTGTCAACCCAAAGGTCTTGGGGCCAATCTGCATTAGGCAGATTTGGTTTTTAGCAAATAATAATTGCCTTGGTTTCCAGGTTAACACAGCCAGGAATGTGTACAGATAATATCCTGGGAAATAAAAGTGACCGGCATGGTGTTGATCACATCACCCAGAGAGTTGTAGGAAAGGACTTTACTACTTACTTAGTGTCCATGGTTTGCATGCATACAATACAGGTTCTACATGTATATATCACATTAACACACTTTCTCACCACAGCTGACAATTATGCACCAACAATAGGGGAAGAACAATGTGGATTTGGGAAAAGCACAGGCACATTGACGTCCTGAGGGTTAATAGACTGCAGTTGTTTCATTATGCAGAGAGAATGGCAAATAACAGAGAGACAAAAATGGCATATACAAAAGATTTTAATGAGAGTTTACCATAAGACAGACAAGAAGATAGTGGGAGCAATAATATACAGGCAGACCTATACACACACGAGTCACCAGTTGGATAGAGAGGGCCAGCCACAAAGATGAATTGAGTTGGGTGCAACAATAAACCTCAAGGGCTTGGAATGCTGAAGAAGAAGAAAAGGGTACAATGAAATCTTTGTATTTACTACTAGCGGTACCTGGCCACACGATGCTGTGGCCCAGACTGGTGAAATGGAAAAGAAAGAAAAGATCAAGCACACTTGTCTAATATGGTTAATGCCCTAATGGGTATAATTCTTCTTCATCTCCTTTTTTGCGTTCTGTTTCGTATGCTCAGATCAGACCATCAGTTCGGTTGCCTCTATGAACTCGCATGTCAGTAGCAGGTCCTTCCTGGTTCCCCATAGCTTGCTCTGCACACTTTGCTCTTGAGGCCAGGTGTCTTTTCAAAGTTGTAGGTAGACTGGGCAGGTCTGCAGAATGTGCTCAGGTGTTTGTCATCCAGTTTGACAGGCACACTGTTGGGACTGTAAAATCTTTTTTTTTTAATGCATGTGGTATTTGAGCCTGCAGTGTTCTGTTTATAGATGGAAAATTAAATGTGGGTTTACAATATTCTTTGTTGTTCCATTGTCTGTGAAGGTAAAAAGATTGTCTCAGCTACTCTCAGCCTGCCGCGTTCAGTCTGTGGAGAATGAAGCAGATCTGAGGCGGCAGAACGTGATCGTTGTACACACAACCATGCATCCTCAAGTATGACTACATGTCGTTCTGCGGCTGCCTCAGCACGTATCTGAACCCTTCTTTGACTCGCTTGTTCGCTGATGCCTGCTGTTCCTCAGTTTGATATGCACATGCTTGTCACAGTTCTTCCGCTCCGCGAGTACGATACCCAAAGTTAGATTTTCTGTGAGGCATTATGTATAGATGAACAAACAAAGATCAATGGCACTGAAAAAGAATAAAGACAGTTATTAAACAATTATAAAATTGCAACACAGTACAAAAGGACAAACATGAATTAACAAAAAAGATAAAATAATAGAAGTGGGATAATAGTAAAGAAATATGTCAAATCATATGCAGAACAATCAAAACAGCTCAAGTCCACAGGCAATGTAGCGTAAAAGAAACAGTAGAGTTTAGTCTCTCGTATGACATTGATTATGTCCCCCTGTCCATAGATGGCCCAAATCTGATAATGCACTGCCAGCCAGAGTGTCTGCTCTCTTATTGCCTTTCACACCAGCATTAAAATGCAAAATATTCAACCTATTCGGCACCAATATATCCCAGCCAGTTAACACACTCTGTTCTAGTCATATTGCAGATTCTTTCTAGACCCCTAGCGCCATGGTGGCAGAGCAGCTAGATGCTCTAACTCTGGCCGGATGCTCTTGGGTTGGAATCTACTTCGACTCAAAATTTTGTTGTTGTTGTGACCTTGACTTCCAGGTTAATGCAGCCAGAAGTGAGTAGCAGGTCAAGTCCTGGAACTTCAGAATACATGATCTGTTCCTTGGGACTGAAAGAGTTAGGCTATCGTTTTGAGCTAAGAACCAGTATCACAGCACTCAGAACATTCCCATAAGTGCTCCCTCTCCATCTTCAGTAGTGAGCACAGTGTTTCAATTCCAATGGTATCAATTGCAGTCTGATTGTATGTCTATCTTGCCTTTCCCTTTAGCATTGCTTATATCTCAGGGCCACTACCCACCGCCTTGTTTTTTCCAAACTGATGATCTGTTTGTGCTTCTGTACTGTTCATTCGCTCCTATAAGGTCTTGATCATATCTAACTTGTCTTACATCTATATCGTTTCCAAGTGGTGGAAAACCATTTTCCAGCACACCTGCATACCCTGGAGAAAATATGCAAAAAATGCTAACTACTTGGGGGACTTCTGGAACAAGGTTTGCCAGTGTTAATGGAACAGGCTTTGTGAATATATTAAAATCATGACATGTGTATGCAGGTGATTCTCAGGCCATCAGAAAGCTGCAGTTACTGCCTCCAACTCCATTCTCAAACTGTTTGTTGTGGTATCATATGCTATGTTTTACTGAACAAAAGATAAACTAGGGATTAAGCCTATTCCATTGTCATTAGTTGTTAGTCGAGCTTCCAGAATCACTACAAATGAGACACCCCATAACTGCTCGCTTCCTCCTGTGCCAGTGGAAATCCCACAAAATGTCATTCACTGTCCCATTTGAAAAACTAGTGAAAATCTTGTCAGTCCCAGCAAAATCTCTAAGCTTGCACATGCAAAGTAAATGCATAAGACAGCTGTCAGATGTGCCAACACTAACTGTCCCACACCAGAATTACAGCTCCCCATTAATACAAATGGTCAGTTACGAAAGCCTCATTGCACCCACAGAAGTACACCTCATTCTAAATATAATCTGCCACGGATCACAATTTTTTTGCAGTCAGCAGCATGCAGCGGGCACAACAGAAAAAAAACATTGCACATGAAATCCACAGCTCGCTGTCTTGGCAGACAAGTGCACTAACCACAATGCCACCACTGCTCCTGTTATTATTGACAAGAAATGTCATCACCCTTTTCGTCTACAGAGATCTCAGCCGCAACTTGGAGCATGCCTGTCCAAGTCAAAGGCTATGCTTCCTATCTCGATGTTGCTCCTATCAAGTATGACATCCTGCCTGGAACATCCCAAGTCACATTTGATTTCCTGACCGGGAAAAGCAGCTCATCATGTGCAACAAAAACAATGCATATGTAAGATTCTTTTTTTTTCATAGTTGCCTTTGAAGTCAGAGTGCATCCACCTAGGAGGTGAGGAACCAACAGTCTGCATACTAATAAGGCAGATCTGTAAAGCCGATGTGCACACATAACTCAAGTTCTGGAGCAGAAGTGGACAAACAACCAGAACTTTCTGTTGTGAAGAAGAAGTTTGCCTTAGTACTTCATATACTTGTCTCTCTCTGTACCATGCCATATGCTTAATATTGGTTCATCATGATCAACATTAACTTTTACTTTTGCCATTAAACATCAGGGGAAGGAACAGTTTGCCATACACTACTCAGTGGGTGGCATTAGCTACTCACATTCCAAGTGAATGTATAATGAATATCATCAGTCCATCTTCTCCTTGGATGCTGCTCTCTTGATCTCACGGCAGTTCATTTTAGGTGTAGTACCTTCATAAGTAGTGGCTGTGGCTGCATTCTAATGAGGTGACCAAATCATTCGATCTTCTGATTCTCATTGAATTTGAAGATAGGTGTTGTTCCTACGGTTAGTCTGATAGTATAATTTCTCACTCATTCTGGGATGATTATTTTCCTTATTTTGCATTTGTGCTGAAAAGAGTCGTTGGCATATTGTCTTGTAGTTTGCAATTAGGCTGTGATATCCACACCTTTTTGCCTATCACATCCGACCTATGCAAAGCATTAATTAGTCACCTTTTGCAACTTGCTTTTTAGTTAGCATTGAATTTATCTTTTCTTTTCGCCAAAGGGGAAGTGGGGGGGGGGGGGGTGGGGACAGAATTCATCAAGGGGCTAGTTTGGATGATTCAGTTTGCGGCTTTCCTCAAGCATCGTAAAAGTAGATGGCCCTTCGATAATAAATGTCCAAGTTTGGCACAGGTAGCACAGTGCTGATATAAATGTGCCGTATATATGTCTGGATGTCATAATCTTTTTTCACCCCATGAGAATCTTTAAAAAAAAAAAGACCTTTTTTAAAAAATAAATTGTTGGTTCTTATCACGAGCCTGTCATGGCATGAATGGGAGGCAACGGAACTCTGGCCATGCAGGCAATTTTGTGAGAAGTTACAAAATTTTGATTTAAAAAAAAAAAAATTTTTTTTATACTTTTCTGAAACTCTACCTTTACAAACTAGAAGAAGAGAAGGAAAAGCAAAAGAAATTTTGAGTCTTGGTAACTTTTTATAAATTTCCCTGGAGTCGAATCCCTGGATCACCAAGAAAACTGACAGGTGTGAAGTCCTTTTCTTTGAAGATGTTATTCCAATAATAAAAACAAAATTCCAGCCACTATGAAGTTCCACTGTTCATGCTATTTCGTCAGTTCATATTTCAGAGAAATTATTATTGACACTCAGAACCATGGTGACATAGCTTCTAAATGCTTGCCTGCCAGCCTGAAGATCTTGGGTTCAAATCTGCATAACTGGATTTTTTTCAAAAATTAACCTTGGATTCCAGGTCAGCCCAGCCTAAAATGAAAACCAGGTTTAGTCATGGGAAGCAAATGTGGCCAATGTGATGTTAACCTCATCGCCCATCAAGTGCCAATTGGTCTGCAAGACTATAAGTCTAGATTAATATGCCTGAAATGCCACTGGCATGAAAATGGTCTTTAACTTACATTTTACTTTTCAAATCTGAATGGAGCCGGACTTTTTTCACAGATGACCTCGGCTCCCAGGTCCACCTAGCATTGAGTGGGTAACAGGTAAAGTCCTGGAAAGTAAAGGTGGCTTGTACGATGCTGACCGATTGGTCTGTAAAATATAGATCTAACTCTATATGCCCAATATGCCTAAACACATAGAAAAGGATCCTTTATTTTACTTACTTACTTTCATCATCAATCAGCAAATCCTTTACAGAACGTCGCTCTCTTCACGGCACGCCTGAAAATATCCCTTTCCCTAGCCAGCTCTCCAGCCCCATGTGCTTTCAATGCTAATGCATCTTCAATGTCCTGTATCCATCTTGACAGGGGTCAACCCCTGCCTCGCTTTCCACAAACTGCACCTTCCATCACCATCTTTTCCTAGCCACCATGACGTTTGATGCGGCCATAATACTTCAACTTTCAGGGAAGGATGCTGTTTATGAGCCAGTTCTCCTTGATGTTTAACTCGTGTAGAATATTGATGTTTTTCACTTCTTGATCCCTGATATTCTGAGAATTTGTCTTTAACATTTTAACTCAACAGCTCCAATCTTTTTTCTTCAGTGATTGAATGAGATTCTAGGACTCACAACTGTAAGTTGCCACAGGAAAAATTTACATGTGCTCTGCCATAGTTTCTTCATGCTGTTTAATCTCTTCATTGCTAATGCAAGTCTTCTTCTGACTTCTTTTCAGCAGTCTCATCTCCACTATTTTTCACTAAAGAGCCCAAGAATTTGAAATCTGTAACATTTTCTGTTTCTTCATTTTTCTATTGTAATATGTGGTTGGTGTGCTGTATTTATTGAGGATATGATTTTTTTTTTCTTAATTCAGAAAAAGATTCACTTTTCCATTGTGCTTTTTGATGGCCAGAATTAATTTTTCTAAACCTTGTATACACTATAGGAAAGGAGAACTGTGTAATCTGCATATCTAAGTTCTGGGATAGGATTACCTTAAATTTTTAGTGATAAAGCTCTCACATGCCTCATGGCTAATTGAGTTTCTCATAAAATTTTCAGCATTTATGTAAAAAAGGGATGGAGAAAGAATGCAACCCTGTCTGACTCATCTCTGCACTTCAGAGGATTTTGTTGGCAAGAATAATTAGAGCTATAGTACCATAATTGTTACATAATTTGAGATTTCCTTTTTCGGGAAGGGAATATAGACTAATCTTTTCCACTCTTCGGGCAAATCAGCACTGGTCCAGATTTGCACACATCGTGCATGGTATAGAATAATGCTCCAGCCCGAATTAACTCTGCTGGTAAGTTGTCACATCCCAGAGATTTACATTTTTTCAAGTTCTTTATTGCCATTCTTACTTACTCTAACAGAGGTTCAGGCTCTTTGTCTTCGAATTCATCAGCACTACCTGGCATGTTTTTCAAATCTTTGTACATTTCTCCACAAAACTCCTTCCATCTTTCTCGTATTTCTTTGCTCTTTATTAAAGTGTTGCCATTTTATCGTTCATTACATTTATTGAAGATTTACATTTTGTTGTTAGCGTTCTGATCGCTTTGAACATTTCTCTGTCACTTTCCTGTTGCTGGAGAGGCTCTATTTTGTTGTTTTACATTACGTAGTGTTAAATAGATCATTACCGTCTAAGGAGAATGGCGATGCGGGGAGTTAACAGGGGATCCGGCCAACGTTCAACACTCAAGGGAAAGACGAAACGGATGTACAATCAGACAGTTACTGGTACCCATCGGAATTGGAATTCTTCGCCTGCTGCTGATGATGAGGGACGGAACACTTATGGGAGTGTCCTGAGTTCTGTGATGTCCATTCTTATTTCAACCTTCAACAGTCTTTTCTTAGTACCAACACCTTGTAAACTCCACTGTTCATTCTATCATTTCAGACTAGTCCAGCATGCCAGCCTTCCACATGTCATACAGACAAATTTAACCTTTCCGGATAATTTTCTGGTGGAGGAGCCAGCTTTTAAATTTTCTGTTGACAAACAGCAGCATGTTCCGGTTATATTTCTGTGGCCAGCGCCTGGTCAGTGGTTTGTGATAGCGTACACAGAGAAAGAGGATAAAGCAATCAAACAAAAGGTACATGGTAACTTTATGATACATGACTTTTGATTCTTCACTTGTTTTTTTAATTTTTTGTTTTGTTAACTTCCGGTGTAAGTTATGGAACCCAAATTTTGTTTACATTGAATAGATCCACTTCTTCTTAACAAGCATGTCGTAAAAGTTGACTAATCAAGAATTTGCTGAAATCACATATGATTAGTGATTAGAAAGGATCATCATTACAGCACTCTCAACAGATGCTCTACAAGTGTAAAACGACTGATGACGCCTGTGTTGGTTAATGAAACATCTTGTCCCCTTAGTCAAATGTTAATTTCTTGCAGCTTGAGGCTGCACCCCCATGTCCATCAGTCTAGACAGAGATACAGAGTCATGTCCTTTGGCGTGCTCCTCGGTACGGTAAGTGCATCGCATGGCATTGATAAGAAATCACATGTGTGGGGCCCAAAATCACAAATATCACTTCTTCTTTTTGTATAGTCCATGCTGTATGGCATTGATAGTAATGTCTGTCCGCACCTTCTGTCTTATGTACTTTCAGTAATTTCTGATCCATCTTCCACGCCATGATGTCAAACTGTCCAGCATCTTCTGTCTCTTAGTCTCCATCTGCCTCTTTTCCAAATATCACAGCTAGCTGTAAACCACAACAGAATGTGCCAACTGCTCTTTGATAGGCATATGCAGAAGTGGGAGAAGAAGTTAGTTAAAAAATGCAAGTGTGTATTTTTAAAAGAGGTGTGAAGGTGAGAGGATTGGCTTCTTTGCACTGAGTTTAATCCAAATAGTTCAATCTTCCTCGCCTGACCCATGCTGAAAATGACACACAAAGCATTTTATCTGCAAGGGCATTAACTCTTTGAGTCCCAGGGGGCTTAGCATCACAGGCCTAATGGGTAGTAAAGAGAGTAAAATCGACGTATCATGCGTTCATTGGGCTTCTACATAGGAACCTATGAACGTATGATGCATTCCCTGGGACTCAAAGAGTTAACATCTGTGCTACAATGGCCCTAACTGTTTCCCTTATATTCCTCTCCACCTCACCTCTTTTTTAACTCTGTGTCTCCATGGTGAAGGGATCAAGCCATTTGCCTCACACTCTGAAGGTTATAGGTTTGTGTCATGGACACGTCGTTCAGTTCAGAGTGTTGTTTTTACTTTGATACCTGGGGATTGTTGCTAGGGCTATGAAGTTTGTGCTTTGTGTGGCATTCTTGGCAAACAGCCATTTGTTCTGTGGAGACGTGCACCATATGGGATAAAATACAGTGCTATCAAGTGGATCCTTTTAGCTTTAGCTTTTTCCTCTGACTGAAGGCCAAAATACTAAATTATCCAGATTCACACATGTCAGTTTTTATGGTAAAGGACTGATTTGTATTGATTTTAACCATTTTCACTGATTGTTTAAAAAAAACCGGTTTTTTTAATTTTTTGTTTTGTTTTGTGAAAGTACTTTGCAGGTTAGCCTCTGCAATTGCTTGAAAAATAGCTCTGCCAAAAGATTAAGATAAAAAAATCATCAAAGTAATCAAAGCAATCTCTGAAATGGTATTTTAAAACTATTCTTTTTTTTCTTCTTTGTGTTCACCAGCTGTACACTCTGGCGTAAAGTTCTGGTTGTTCGTCCACTACTGAACTGCAGTCATGCTCCAGAACCTGAGTGTTGCATGTGCATCAGTTTTACAGATCTGATTCAATTGAATGCAGACTGCTGGTTCCTTGCCTGTCAGGCAGATGCACTCCGACTTCGAAGGAAGCTCCCCAGTTAGTCGACTCTTACGACATGCTTTTGGGGAGGCAGTGGGTCTGTCTATTCTTGTTTTCCCCACAATAGGGCCCCGGAACCCACACGGGGGTTAAAACTATTGATCTGAATACTCATAAAAATATTTTATGAGAGAGTTATTATGACTGTTTCTTTTAAATGTCTTGCACTTTAAGCACTTAATATCTAAGAACTGGCATGTATTTGATTTGTGTGTGTGTAAAGGATCATTTTCATTATATGTGGATATCTCTGTAAGTGCTCAGTCTCCTCCTGTAGATCACACTTAAAATCTCAGCACAGTGCAGTCTTCATAGCACTGGCAGGTATCCTACTGTGTGTCATCCTTTATCCCCCCAATGGAGCATAGACCCTCAACCAATTCAAGTCAAGTCCCCCAAACTCTTTTCTGTCACCTGAAGCTCACCCCATGTCATCCCCATCTTTTCAACTTCACTCTGTAGTTCCCTTCTCCATATATTTTGGTCTGCCTTTATTTCTTGGCCCCTTTGGGATCCAGTGTAAAGCACTTCTAGTTAAATTTTCTCAGGTTTCATCAGTGTGTGTCCTATCCAACACCAGCGTCTTTTCTTAAACTCTTGATTCACTGGAATTTGTTTAGATCCCTTCAAACATTCCAGTCCTTAAGAAAGAAAATAGGGCTATTGAGCTGAAATACTATAGAAAGATTGTGAGAATACTATGAACAAAGAAGAAAAGAAATCCTGAGATCCTAACAGATCTGAACATTAAGGAAGACTGACTGGTAAACAGCATCTTCTTTCAGAAACTGAAAAATTTTGGCCATGTCAGGTATGTTAACTCTTTGAGTCCCAGGGGGCTGAGCATCACAGGCCCAGGGGTTAGTAAAGAAAGTTATAAAATTGGCGCATCATGTGCTGATTGGGCTTCTAGGTAGGAACCTATAAACGTATGATGCGTTCCTTGGGACTCAAAGAGTTAAGTGGAAGAAAAAAAATAACAGCAGCAAGCATAGTACCAGGAAAAAAAAGGACAGAGGTTGATCAGCACAAAAATGAGCACAGCATATAAGTGAAACCTTGGATAGAAACGTTCATGAGACAGGAGAGCTGGTGAGAGACCAAGTTTCTTTCAGGCAGACAATATGGAAGACGAAGCATTGCAGAATATTTAGCTTCTAAGTAATTTTTGCTTCTGACAGTGCTTTGCTACTGCAGTTTCCACAGATGGTCAGAAGTCAATGACTTCGTGCTTGGTTCAGCACTGTGAGCTGTCTTTTTAATGTGGGATGCCTTTCATTTGTGTAGAGGTAGAGATGTGGTATTCATTACGGCCGGTAGCCAGTTTATACCTGGGCTGGTTAAATACCTTGTGTAATAATTTTACCTGTGACAGACTACTTTCATCTGTGACAAACAGCATTTCTGGTAGCGAATATTGGCTTTAGCACTTTTAGTAACTGCCGTGTGCATTTACTGTGTTTGTGTGTTTCTGGATTGTGCCAGGACTAATTGTTCACCAGTTTTTTTCAAATGGGACAGAACAGTATCTTGTTTGATTGTCACTGACACAGGAACAGAGCAATTATGAGGTGACCTGACTGCAGTGAAGTTGAAACTTCAACTAAGACTGAGACCATGATGAAAGCTGCCACTGCCTCCCCAACAAGCATGTCGTAACTAGCTGGAGGCTTCCTTCAGAGTTTGAGTGCCTTTGTTCATGATTTCACTAGGCAGCTTTACATTCAGTAGTTTGCCATTGCTTCCTGAATTTTTGGCTCTTGATACTACTGTCGAAACCAATGCTAGGTGATCTGCTACCATATTGTCCACAGCTGAGATTGAACCAGGTGATCTCAAAATTATGATTATATTACACCTAACCACAGACGCCAACCTAAACTACCTTTACTCCTAAATATTAATGTGTTAAATAACATGAAAAAGTTATCTTTGATGGGAAAAGAATAAAAAAGATAAGTGACGGAAAATGAAAATGTGTGTGAAAAACCAGTGAATAACTAGATTTCATGAACATCTGTTCCCATTAACCCAACTTAGTATGTGAAAACTCAGTTTATTAGGAATATCTGTAATAGAATAGAACAACTCCAGATGCAAGAAAGAGACAGAGAAATGTTGAAAGAAGTCAGAACATTAGAAGATGAATTCAGGCCATCATTTCATGTAGTAAATGATAATTACAGTAACATATTAACAAAAACCAAAGACATATTAGAAAGATGGAAAGAATATTGTAAAGAAATGTATGAGGATCGGCAGAGTAATTCAGAAACAACTTATGAAAGTGATAAAAAGGAAACAGAGCCTTTATTGGAGAGGTACACATCAGTATACAGTCTGAAGAAAGGAAAGTCACCAGGTTACAACGAAAAACTAGCAGAACTAATTCAGGCAGGAGGAGAGGTCAGCATCTGAATCGACCATGCGCTGTGCACGAAGATCTGGAACAGTGGTATTTGGCCTAAAGTGTGGATAAGAACAATCTATATCCCTTTCCTAAAGAAAGGAAATCTGAAACTATGCTTCAACTACTGTACCATCTCATTAATATGTCATGTTAGCAAAATCCTCTTGTGAATTTTCATGAAGAGGATTAAAATGAAATTACAAGACAGGGTAGAGGAACTAGGGATCACGTCTTTAATATGAGAATAATTTTTGAAAAATGTAGAGAATACAACATAGACCTTCATGTTTGTTTAATTGATTATAGTAAGGCATTTGATTGTGTCCAACATCAGAAATTGTGCAGTATTATGAGAAGTATGGGGTTTCCAGCACATTTGGGGCATTTAATTGAAGATCTATATCATAAACAACAAGCAGCCATCAGAGTAGCTGGTGAAACGTCGGACTGGTTCCAGGTGCAAAAGGGAATGAGGCAGGGGTACATTCTCTCACCATTCCTATTCAGTATATGTGCAGAAAATTTAATGAGAAATGTCAAAAATTACCAGGCTTGCGACAGTTATGAACTGTTCATAATTGGTGTCAACCCTATTCCAGAACTTTGCTACACAGATAACACAGTCCTCCTTTTGAACAGTGTAAAGGGAATAGAACATTTCATCATGTCTTTCTAGAAGCACAGTAAAGATCAAAACTTATTTTTGAATTTAAAGAAAACAAAAATAATTTCTACAGACAAAACTGGCTGTCACCCAAAAATAATAATAAAGGATGAAGAAAATTGAAAATTTCACAAACTTTGAACATCTAGGCTCTATAATAAATAGCAATGGAAGCTATCTGACAGAAATCAAGAAGAGGAATGCAAAGATTAAACTGCATTAAAATTATATGGTTAAGCACCAGCATCTTCCCTGTAGCAACACACCAATGTGAGTCATGGACTATTTTCCAGTCCTTAAGAAAGAAATTAGGGACTTTTGAGCTGAAATGCTATAGAAAAATTATTAGAAAATCATGGTCAGAGAAGAAGAGAAATACTGACATTTTAAAAGTTCTGAACATCAAGGAACATAGGATAATAAACAGCATCTTGTCTCAGAAGTTGAAATATTTTGGTCATATCAAGCGCCATCGCGATTGAAAAAATAACAGCAGAAGGCATGGTATCAGAAGAGAGAGGGGCAGGGGCTGACCAACATGAAGATGGGCACAGGATATAAGTGACTTTTTCTATATGAAAGTACAGGAGGTGGGAGAGCTGGCGAGAGACCGAGTTTCTTTCAGGCTGACCGTGATGAGAGCGACGTTTCTACAGTGGACCTGCTACATGATGATGAGTATGTGCATCATTTATGCCCTGCTTGCATTCATCATTATATTGAAATAGAGTCCAAATCCAAGATCTTCTAAATTTAAAAAAAAACAAAAACAAAAAAAAAGGACCTCATTTAAAAAACTCAACCCATCTGGATCTGAACCCACCATAGATGATGTCCCTAGGGACTCGCCATCCTCCATCGTCCAAGTGCATCCTAGTCAGTTGAGCCGTTGAAGAGTTAGCATTGAGAAAACCTGCTATTATATCTCCTCTTCACAATATCTCACAGTTTGTGATCTACTCCTCTGTTTGTGATCTACTCCTCAATGTTAGTGATCTACTCCTCAATGTTTGTGATCTACTTCTCCATGTTTGTGATCTACTCCTTAGTGTTTGTCATCTACCCCTCAGTGTTTGTGATCTACTCCTCAATGTTGGTGATCTATTCCTTAGTGTTTGTCATCCACTCCTCAATGTTTGTGATCTACTCCTTAGTGTTTGTCATCTACCCCTCAGTGTTTGTGATCTACTCCTCAATGTTGGTGATCTATTCCTTAGTGTTTGTCATCCACTCCTCAGTGTATGTGATCTACTCCTCAATGTTTGTGATCTACTCCTTAGTGTTTGTGATCTACTTCTCAATGTTTGTGATCTACTTCTCAATGTTTGGTGATCTACTCCTTAGTGTTTGTCATCTACTCCTCAGTGTTTGTGATCTATATTTACTCTTTACTGTTTTGTCTTCATACAGGGTCTAAATGACGACATCAACTGTGTATATTATTTCTCGTCCAGTATGCGGGATGAGCTTATATTACCTAGTATAGCCATTGACTATAAAGAAAACCATGAAGTCACTATAGGACAAGATCCAACATTGTTTAGGTACAGTATGTTTTATTACTCTTTTCTAACTCTTTTTACTCCCGAGCAATGCAGCATGTGTGTTTTAACATTAGTTTTAGTCTTAGTCATAGTTGAGGTTTCAGCTTCACTGCAATCGAGTTTCCTCATACTAACTGTTCCTGTTTTCTTCTTCTTCTTCTTCTCTTCCACCTTGTACCTCATCGAAGATGTAAGGTTCGTTGATGAGCTCTGTCAAGAGCACTATTAAGACTGATGTTCATTTCTGTAAGGCTGTTCTTAATGCCATCACTTCATATTTTCACAGGTCTTCCACTCGCTCTATACTCGTTGTAATGTGTTAGTGTGGCTCGCTGTCGTAAATAGTACCAGGGCATTCTTGTTAGGTGTCCAAACCACTTCATTTGTTGTTCTTTGATGACCTGTAAGGCTGGCTTTATTCCTAGCATTCGTCTGATTTCATGATTTTGTATTCTGTCTTTTCTTGAAACTCCTGCAGCTTTTCTAAGGCATTTCATCTTTGTTGCCACAATTTTACATTCATTGGAGGATTTAAGTGTCCACATTTGGCACTGACAGCATAGTGTTGGCCAAAAATTAGTTCTGATAAGATTCACTTTAGTACTCCGAGGTATCTGCTTGTGTGTCAACAGGGGAGATAGTTGTTACTTGATTAGCTTTGGCACATCTGGAGCTAATTTCTCTACTCTGTTCCTGTGCCAGTGCAAATCAAATGAAATGTCTCTCACTGTCCCATTTGAAAAACTGATGAACAAACAATTAGTCCCTGGAACAATCCAGAAATATGCACATGCAGTAAATGCAAATTTCAGTTGCCAAAGCAGAAATGCAGTTTGTCGTTGATGGAAATAGTTAGTTAGTTAGTTAGTTAGTTAGTTAGTTAGTTAGTTAGTTGGGTTATCATCATTGCACTCCAGACATGTCCATAGGTGCTCAGATCCTCCCCTCAGTATGAACCCCAATGTCCGATGGCTAAAAGTACCAGATCTATGTTCTGATCTTGTTTTTTGCTAAATTCCAAGTCTGCCATTCTGGCGAGTGTGTGGATTCACTGCGTCTTGTCCTTTTTCTCGGAGGGCATTAATAATATCAGCATGATCCATAGGCTGACGGACTGAGATGTGGTTTTAAATATGAATGATGAGAATACCCTAGACAGAATAAAAGAGTAGTAAAAATGTCTCGAATAAACTGATTTATGAAGAGAACAGATTACCTACATTAGAAGGAGACAGTCTACATTCTTTGGTTATGTCATGAGAAGAAGGAAAAATGGAGTATATTATGATGCTGGGAAAGCTGGAGGGGGAAAAGAGTTGGAGGGAGGACCAAGAGAGAAGATGCTGGACAGTTTGACATCATGGCATGAAAGATCATCTTATTTCAGAATTGATTTAAAGTGCTTGAGACAGAAGGTTGTGGATAGATATGACTACCAGTGCCACATGGCATAGATCATGAAATATTCTCTAGTCAGAATTTATTGAAAGTACACAAGACAGAAGGTTGGGGAGAGACATGACTTCCAACATAACATAGCATGGGCTATGGAATATCATCTGTGTCAGAACTGATTGAAAGTACATGAGACAGAAGGTTGGGGAGAGACTATCAACATCACATGGTATGGGCTATGGACCAACAGCACATGGCGTAGACTATAAAACTGAGAAGAAGGTCTTTAGCATCACACTCTGAAGGTCATGGGTTCATGGACTGTATCATTAGGTTCAAAGGTGACATTTTTTACGGAGATCGCCGGCATTGTCACTGGAGCTATAGAATTCCTTCGGTTGGATAGCCATTCTGCAGATAGAGAAACTGAACCTTATGGGATCATTTCATGGAATGCTTTGTTTGATTCACAAAGTCACATTTTTATGGAGATCCCTGGGGATCATTACTGGAGTCATAGAGTTCATGCTTCATGTGACATTCCTACTGGGTGGCTAACCTGTCTGCAGAGAGAGAGAGAGAGAGGAGAGAGAGAGATGAAGCCTTGTGAGCTGAAACCTAGGGCACTGCAGTTGATCTTGAGGACATTAAACTTTTTAACATTGTATACTTGGTCTTTTTGATTTACGAGTGAGTTTTGTTCTGACTAAAAGGTTGTAGGTTGAAATTATATATTATTTCAACACTATTTTTATTCAAACTGCAGTTCCAGACAGTCTGCCATGTTCGTTAGGGTCAAACAGACTCTGATGTCTAGACCCATGCTGCAATCTAGGCATCAGCTCTGGGCATTTTGTGGTTGTTGACCCTACATGCATCTAGTTTAAACATATAGGACAGGCAAAAACTGCATTTTTCAAAGTGAAGAACATTTTGTGCAATATATCTTTGTCATTGAGAGTTAGAAGAAGAATTCTTGCTTGCTACATACATCCAGTTTAATCACATGACTGTGAGTCCTGGACAATCGGTAGGCAGGCCAAACAATGACTTGAGGCCCCAGAGATGTGGTTTTACAGAAGAATGCTTAAAATACCTTGGACAACCAGAAAGAGCAACCAAGAGGTTTTGAAAGAGGCGGAAGCTCGAAGACAACTAATCACAGACATGAGAAGGAGACAGTCAGCATTTTTCGCCCATGTTATTAGAAGAGGGAAAATAGAACATGTTGTGACCACTGGAAAGGTCTGTGGAAGGAGGGATAGAGGAAGACAAGAGAGATAATTTTTGACAGTCTTGTTGCATGGCATGGAGGTGTGTCAGTACACGAACTAACACATACTGCAGGAGATCGCAGATTGTGGAGAGGCATGATGATGATGATGATGATGATTACCCTACCAGTGTAGTTATCTTTCTTTCTTTACTTTGTGTGTGCCTGCGTACATGTAATTGTGCCTGTGTGCATGTATGTGTGTGGTGCGCATGTATGTGGGTGGGTGGGTTGGCTTGTTGGAATTGGTGGTTGGGGGAAAGTGCCGATGGTCATAAGTTGCATAGGTAGTAAGTTGATTTGAAAGTGTATTTAGTCACAAAATCTATTTTTTTTTTAAAGGGACTAAAAATAATACAGTCAAGAGGTTCATATTCCATGAGATAATCTTCGACGAGATAAATGAGATTAACCACTTAGCTACAGAGACCCTTCTTCCCCCCCCCCCCCCCCCCAAGTTTTTTGTTTCTTATATATATATTTATAATTGTATATACCTTTTTGCTTTTAGATTTGAAATACCAACATCAACAATGAGCTTAAAAATTCAGCTGCAAAAATGTGACCCGAGCCCCTGCAGTTTAACTCTTGCATACCTACCATCGAACCAATCATTTGCCAGTATGTGGATATGTAATGGATCAGCTGAAGATTGCAGCCTGGAAGTTGCTTCCCCTGGGCTTATGTATGTGCAGTTTCTGCAAATCATAAATGAGGCTGTGAATGGGAGCCAGAGGGTCACCTTCTCAATTTCAACCACAGGTCAGTCGTAAATGATTGTAGTTTTTAAAATATACCCCCCCCCCTTTCCCCAGTAACACCCTGTCCAAGATGAGCTCAAATAGAAACCTTGAAAGTGTGATAACAATGACAATAACTGTTCCCTTGTATTGTAACCTCTCAGTATTGTTGTTGTTATTGGGAGGCTGCAGGGTATCGCGGCATGGTATCCACCTCGAGTGCTGGAAGTCCTAGGTTCAGGCCCCGATGAAGGCTAGGATTTTTTCACGTGGACTTCTAGTAATTTCCCCTAATCTCTGGGTAATAATATCGGATGCCCGTGTGTATTGTTGCGCATGTAAAAAATCCCTGGGCAGTTGGAAATGGAAAAAAAGTAGCCTAACGGCGCTGTCGGGGCAAAATTTAGTGTTAAAAATCTACCCACAGTATTTCAGGATCCTAGCTGGTTCTACGGATTTTGTGCACTTCGCTGAGATTATTCTAAATCAGGCTTGAGTCAGAAGTAGAACAGAGAACTTATGGGTTACTTTACTTGTGCCATGATGTTGATCCATCATCAAAACCCTAAAACCTAGTATTGCTGTTAAGATGTCAAGAGTGTTAAACATGACAACATGGTACAGATGAACACAGTGATGTCATAATGCATTTTTAAAGATGGCCACCATACTTTTGACATGCACACCAAAGAGAAGCTTTTTGATCAGTGAAAGGGTGAGACCTATAGAAATTCAGCGAATGAAGGTCTAGTATGGTGATGCATGCCTATCAATCCAACAAGTGTATAAGTGGAGAAGGAAATTTCAAAACGATGTCTCTTCTGTGATGGACTGTTTACTACTGGATCAGCTAATGTCAGTGTGTTTCTTCTTTTGTCATCTCACTGATACCAGCTTGTAGCCCAGTATAATGTATCAAACACCACAAAGTGCAATAATATATCAGTTAAATTTGATCGAAGCATGGCCAGACACTTGCCCGCCAGCCTGATGATTTTGGTTTTGGTTCTACGCCGAGGCCGATTTTTCTTAAATATAATGTTGAATTAATAATCAACATCACAGCAATCGGGACCTTCCCATAAACTCTCCATCCCCATCTCCACCACAGACACAGATTTCCAGTTCTGATGGCAACTGTAACAGACTGTCTTCCCTCAGAATTGACCTTGACTCCCAGCCTTAACATCTGTCTTCCCTCAGAATTGACCTTGACTCCCAGCCTTAACATCTGTCTTCCCTCAGAATTGACCTTAACTCCCAGCCTTAACTCGGTATGAGGTAATATCCTGGGAAGTAAAGATGGGCGGTGTATTGTTGACCACATTACCCATCGAGTGTAGATTGTTTATTTTTTTTTTAAACCGTGAGTCTCGCCCTAAATTCCTTATGCACCAGTGGTATGAAAAGAGTCTTTTACTTTATTTTCTACTTTAATTTACTTATTGAGCTTACTTGAGCAGTATGCATTTACACAGGCGGTTCAGTGTCAAGAGGCAAAAGAAGTGCTTGGGGCTTCTTAGCAAAAGTTAATGGTCGACGTTTGGTGCACGAGAGCCTAGCATATGAAACCACAACAGCTTAAGAATGGAAGTGGAGGTGGTCACTGCAGCTTTCTTCTGGCTAGAGAACACGACACACACACACATCGTGATTGTAACTGACTCAGAAAGCATGCTGAGGGAGATCAGGACAGGTATGCTTCGTGCAGAGTGGCATGCTTTGCTGAGGAGGACACGGGTGAGGAGTATTGTCTGGATTTTTTCACTGGGGGACGCCAGTGTGTTGGGACACGAACAGGCGGACAGACTGGCTGGCTCTGCCCAACTTGGTGGAATACTGATACATGATAAGGCAGATGTGGTTAGTGTCTTGTGGGAGAGTGTGTACAGTTTCAGAGGAGCAGATCGATCACCACAGTCTGGTGAGATTGATGCAGAGGGGAGTGAGGAGAGGTTCTGGCAGATACTCAAGTCTCAGAGGAAAAGCAAGACCGACATTTAATTAGAATGCTACTGGCACCGTTAGTATCGGAACTCTTCGCTGGCTGCTGTAGATGGGGACTGAGTGCTTACAGGAATGCCCCGAGTGCTGTGATGTTGGTTCTTGAATCAAATCAAATCAATCAAGCAGTATGCAGTACATCATTTTGAAGGTAATATCAGCATTCGAGTGCCGTGTTGAAGCATAGGCTGTCATGTTTCCCATCTCAAAGTTCTTCCGTCACCTCATCCATGTGGCCAATCAATCCAGGTATCTATTTCTTTGCCTTCCTCTTTTGGTGCTCTTTTAGTGTCGGTTGTTACATGTTTGTTCTGCAAAATCATTGACATCTGTCCACTAACTTGATTTGTTTTATGACATCTGTGTTCTCTGTCTGCTTCCATTTTTGCATTGGATCATATTATGTTCACTAGATACTCAAAGTCTTTTGCTTGCTTAGGTTAAAGGTCTTAAATAATTGATCTAGTATGACAAGTAAACTCAGTAACAGTCAAAGAAGACAACGAGGCCTTCTCCATGACAACCAGCAGCATGACGATGGAGGTGATGGCAGTGACACAAGCGCTTGCCTGGCTTGAAACACAAAAATACACCCGCGTGTGTATACTCAGTGATTCAATGAGTATGATCCGGAGGGTTCAAGCAGGTTCAGTGCGAAGACAATGGCTTGAATCATTACAGAAGTCCACTCTGCGTGGAGTCGATGGAAATGAAAGAGCTGACAGGTTGGCTGGATCCGCTATCACTACCGACGGTCAGCCTATGGATCATGCTGATATTATCAATGCCCTCCGAGAAATGGGAAGGATAGAGGACTTTGGTGGCAGTGAATCCACATCACTCGCCAGAATGGCAGAATTGGGAATTAAGATCGGCACAGCAAAAAACGAGACGCACACCAGACACGCCAGAAGACTTGTTAATCAACATAGAACTGGTACTATTAGCCATCGGACGTTGGGGTTCATACTGAGGGGAGGATCTGAGCACCTATGGACATGTCCGGAGTGCAATGAGGATAACCCAACTAACTAACTAACTAACTAACTAACTAACTAACTAACTAACTAACTAACTAAGTAAACTCAGTATTATTGTCTGGTTCTAAGTCATGAATTTGAAAATGTTGTCCTCATCACAGAGTGCTCAAACAAACCAGGAGGAGGAGATTGTCTGTACATGCCACAGTTTGACAGAATCGAGCCAGCACGGCCACTGTCTACAGTCTTCGGATATGTGGATATTGGAGAGAAAATGACAACTGTTGACCTGCATCTTGCTCGCTACATTGTCATTCCATTTGAAATCTTGTACCCCAGCGACATAGGAGGAACTCTGGGCTGGAAGATTGAGGGTGTCAACTTTTCATATGTAAGTGTTTGAAGATATTATTTTTGTCAAGCGCCATATCCGCATTGAATGTCATCTGTGATTTTTTTTTCATTCACTGTATTGTTGTCATATTTGAAATATAGTGATTTTTTCATTCACTGAATTGTTGTCATATTTGAAATATAGTACCCCACTGCAATGACTAGTATGAACGGTGGTTGGAAGATTGTTAGTCTCAGACTCTCCATATATAAGTGTTTTAAGATATTTTTAACACCATGTGACATCTTCACATTAAAGGCCAGCTTCATGGATCATCAACATTTTCTGTCTTTTGTTATACTGTTTTTCTATTTAAAATCTTGCACCCAGTGACAATAGTGGTCTAGTAGCTTGTGCACTTGCTGCCACAAAAATGGTCTGGGTTCAGTCTCAAGCAGATGTAGAATTTGTTTGTGTGTTGGTCTAGGGCACGGCTGTTTAACTTTTACTTAAGGGCCAACATTTACAAATGGGTTCTTCATGGGCCAGAGAAAGATCATCTCGTGCAGCAGGGTACCAGCCCTGAGCTTCATGAACTCAGGTGGGCCCACCTCCGAAAGCGTCTAGGAATCGTGGGCCGAAACGCTCGTTGACGAGGATAATTTCTACTGACGACTGGTAGATCCCTGCTGTACTTGCTCCCTGTGAGTTTATTCCTATTACAGTAGCCAGTAATCCATTGGCCATTTGCTAGGCCTACATTGACCAAACCTGGTCCACGGGCTGTCAGCTTTAGAATCCACCCAGTTTCATCAAAGTAGGTATCAGACAAGTGGCACAATGTGATCATGTAAACACTGAGGTATTGGAAAGAGCAGGTAATACAACAGTTTTCACAATGCTCAGTCTCTGAAGGCTCAGGTGGCTTGGTCACATTTGGAGAATGGAGGATGGTAGAGTCCTTAAGAACATCCTATATGGTAAATTACAGATGCATAGAAGATGCTAAGCTTGGCCTTTTCTGTGATGTTAAGATGTGTACTAGCGGGGCATGAATGAAACAGATAGGTGGATAGATTCCATGGACGGTGTTGCAAGAAGAGGACAAATCAGGAAGGGAATGAGAATGAAGGAAAAAGAGATTGCAGAAAGGATGAGAGCTGAGCGTCTGAGAAAAAGCACACTAAAGATCATGTGATGGCAACCATGATCCTCGAATCCCTTGCTATAATTCTGGAGGACTTTTCTTGATGGGCACACTCGCCATCACTATAGGCTGTGATTCTTATGCCTTCTCATAGCGCAGTATAGGAGGCTGCATAGTCTCGAGCCATGGCATTCACCTCGAGGTCCCGGGTTCAAGCCCGTGTAAAGGCTGGGATTTTTTCATGTGGACTTCTGGTAATTTTTCCTGGTCTCTGGGTAGTAAGATCGTATGCCAGTGTGTACTGTTGCACATGTACAAAATCCATTGACAGTTGAAAAGCAATCAAGAGAAGCCTAACAGCACTACCTGGGCAAAATTTTGAGGATTTTTAAAAAGTATTACAAAGTATTTCAGAATCCTTGTGGGTGCTACAGAGTTCGTGCACTGTGCTGAGATTCTTCGGACTCAGTCTAAACCTAAACCTAACCATAGCACAATATAATACGATCTCAGGAAAGACGGATGCGGCACCAACTGATGTAGTGGTGTACCCGTGTGGGTTCCGGGGTCCTGTTATAGGGAAAACAAGAATAGACCCACATGTTGTAAGAGTCGACTAATTGGGAGCTTCCTTCAAAGTCAGTGCATCTGCCTGAGAGGCAAGGAACTAACAGTCTGCATACAAATGAGTCAGATCTGTCAAACAGATTCACATGCAATACTCAGGTTCTGGAACAGGACTGCAGTCTAGAAGTGGATGAACAACCAGAACTGTTCACCAGTGTTTACAGCTGGTGACTGCGAAGAAGAAGAAGTGGCACACAGTGTAGGCATCATAATCTTTTCAGTGCAACTGTAGTAGACACTTTGTGGCGAGTACTAGCATCTATTTTTTCCTAGAAATAAATACCCTGATGAGTTTAACATTGAACCGTGGACAAATCCACAAGTGCTCAGTCTCTCGTTCTCTCTCATTAGAATTAAAATATATAACCTACTATAAACATATATTTGCCTAAATTATTCAAGGTGCTCTTCTATATTCATATTCAGGACCGTATAATGATAGTAAAGGTTTGTGGAACATTGTATCACAACTACCTGCCACACATCACCAGTGACTTTGATCTGTGCAGCAACATGTCTTATGGCATTAGCCAGATCTTTAGCAGGACTAGTAAAGATCAACCCAGCCTGTATGTCCCATACCCCAAGGTTGGAGTCTGGCATGTGGTGCTTCAGGGAACTTGCTATAACAGCAGCAGGTAGGCAAAATTGTGTGTTTGTGATCTTTTTCTCCCCCTCCTCCTGCTTCTCTTTCTCCTCCTCCTTCTCCTCCTCCTTTCTCTTCTTCTCCTCCTCCTATTTCTTCTTGTTCTTCTTGTTCTTCTTGTTCTGCTTCTTCTTCTTCTTCTTCTTCTTCTTCTTCTTCTTCTTCTTCTTCTTCTTCTTCTTCTTCTTCTTCTTCTTCTTCTTCTTCTTCTTCTTCTTCTTCTTCTTCTTCTTCTTCCTCTGCCTCTTCTTCTTCTTCTCCTCCTTCTTCTTCTTCTTCTTCTTCTGCCTCTTCTGTCTCTTCTTCTTCTTCTTCTTCTTCTTCTTCTTCTTCTTCTTCTTCTTCTTCTTCTTCTTCTTCTTCTTCTTCTTCTTCTTCTTCTTCTTCTTCTTCTTCTTCTTCTTCTTCTTCTTCTTCTTCTTCTTCTTCTTCTTCTTCTTCTTCTTCTTCTTCTTCTTCTTCTTCTTCTTCTTCTTCTTCTTCTTCTTCTTCTTCTTCTTCTTCTTCTTCTTCTTCTTCTTCTGCTGCTGCTGCTGCTGCTGCTGCTGCTGCTGCTGCTGCTGCTGCTGCTGCTGCTGCTGCTGCTGCTGCTGCTGCTGCTGCTGCTGCTGCTGCTGCTGCTGCTGCTGCTGCTGCTGCTGCTGCTGCTGCTGCTGCTGCTGCTGCTGCTGCTGCTGCTGCTGCTGCTGCTGCTGCTGCTGCTGCTGCTGCTGCTGCTGCTGCTGCTGCTGCTGCTGCTGCTGCTGCTGCTGCTGCTGCTGCTGCTGCTGCTGCTGCTGCTGCTGCTGCTGCTGCTGCTGCTGCTGCTGCTGCTGCTGCTGCTGCTGCTGCTGCTGCTGCTGCTGCTGCTGCTGCTGCTGCTGCTGCTGCTTCTTCTTCTTCTTCTTCTTCTTCTTCTTCTTCTTCTCTTCTTCTGCTTCTGCTTCTGCTTCTCCTTCTCCTTCTCCTTCTCCTTCTCCTCCTCCTCCTCCTCCTCCTCCTCCTCCTCCTCTTCTTCCTACTTCTTCTTCTTCTTCTTCTTCTTTTTTTTCTTCTTTTTCTTCTTCTTCTTCTTCTTCTTCTTCTTCTTCTTCTTTTTCTTCTTCTTCTTCTTCTTCTTCTTCTTCTTCTTCTTATTCTTCTTTTTGTTCTTCTTCTTCTTCTTCTTGTTCTTTTTCTTCTTCTTCTTTGTAATTTTCTTCTTTATTTTCTTCTTCTTCTTCTTTCTCCTCCTCCTCATCCTCCTCCTCTTCTTCTTCTTCGTCTTCTTCGTTTTCTTCTTCATCTACTTCTTCAGGATCTGGATGACACTGTACGCTCAGAAGAAAGACGAGACGTACATATAATCAAACTGATACTGGTACCATAAGAACACCATCGGAATTGAAACTCTTTGCTAGCTACTGAAGATGAGGATGGAGCGTGTATAGGATTGTCCAGAACACTATGATTCTGGTCCTAACTGAAGATCAGGATGGAATGTGTACAGGATTGTCCAGAGTGCAATTATTTCAGTTCAGTCCTATCTCAGCTCAACTCACTGAGAGAAAAGAGACAGAAAACTAAATCTTAAATATGCCCAATGACTGTCAGTGAATGTCTCTTAAACAATAACAAGTGAAGTACCCTTTTTTACACCATGTGCACATCAGGCTTGGGCTTTAAGAAGTGCTTCCTAATGCGGGTTTGCTGGGTTTGATCCTAGCAACTGAAGGTTTGTTTTGTATTGGTTTCAACAGTGGTACCGAAAGTTTACAGTTCAGAAAGCAGTGGCAAACTCCTGAATGTAAAATGTGCCTAGAAAAACCATGACAGCCAAAAATTGCTGGGGTTTGTTCTGCAACGTCCTGTAAAGAACAGGCAACTAACTTTGAACACACCAGGCAGCTGGTACTAAACACATTTTTATCAACTAATCAACACTAATTTAGCAATTCGATCAACATCACACCTTCTCCTTTTATTTCTCACAGGACATTTCCTTGTCCCCATTTTTGACTGGGTCAATTTGGAAACACTGGATAAATAAATTTTTTTTTCTGAACCAAAAGTCCTTAAGCGTAGCTCATTTGGGTTAGTGTTGTGAGCATCGAAGCTCTACGACCTTGGTGCCACGTATACCATTAATCTGTTGAGTATGCAGCTTTTCTGCCATCCCTCGGCTCGAACCCGAGACCGGAAATGCATGTAGATTATCACGTGACGTCCAGCACGCCATCACCTATGCTGGACTGCCAGGCCTGGGTAAATAATAAGAGTGTGTATGTCAGTTTAGTCTAGCAAAATATTATTCCACCATTTGTTGACATATCTCATGACAGGCTGGATATCTCTGAGGTGCCATGTCCTGAGAACACGTTTGTAACCATGGCTCTAAACATACAATCTTGCTGGAATAATGGCTGCACCAACAGAGGAACTTGCATGTCAGGATATGCCACATCAGACCTCATCTTCTATGCTGCTTGTCGCTGTGATGCTGGTAAGTGATGTGAATGTTTAGGTCCCATGTTGTAAGACATACTGGACATATGGTTTTTAACCCCTCCCTCCCCCTCCCCCACCCCCCCCCCCCCCCAAAAAAAAAAATTTGTTTTTTCAACGCACCATGTGGAATGTTGAATAAAGAATCGACATCACAGCACTCCGGATACCCCCATAAGCCTTCCGTTTCCATCTTCAGCAGCAAGAAAAGAGTTAAAATTCGGCTATCCTCTGACTAATGGTCGACAAAGATGGAGGCCACCAAATATCCAGTCGAGCCACAGTCACGTGTCTATTGCACACTTGCGGTCACGAGCACATCGCGGCAAAACTAGGATTAGTGTCCGTTGACAATTTTGAGAAATGGAACAAACCACCGAGTAAAACTCGCCGCCGAGAGTCTCCCCCGCGCCGCTAGACTGAATGGCTGGGACCCACGAGCAGTAGCTTCCGCATCTCCTGCAGCTTTGCAGCTTTACTCGTGAGGTCTAGCCATCTAGTTTAGCCCCAATCCACGCCGCGTGAGCGGCATGGGGGCTACTCTCAGCGGTGGCAGTAGTCGCCGGAAACCGCAAATTAAGTCGCAGGAAGTTCAAAATTGATACATGAGTGAGGCCCTGTTTTTTGTCGACATCTTTTGTGCCCGTTAGTCAGAGGATAGCTGGTCTGTGGATGCTACTAGAAAGAAAGGTGCGATACCAATGCGGTACGAGCCGCGCCTTGTTCCGATCGTACTTAGCCGAGTGTCAATGGCCACAAACAGCAGATTTTCAAGCACTATTTAGAATGTCTGTGCCATAATTTCCTGATATAGAGGCATACAATTAACGGTAAGTAGTTGATTTGATATAACATTTTTGTCGCTCCTTATTAGTTTTCTTCCTTATTAGTTTCCACTTCAATTTTTGACTGTTTACAATACATGATACGTGACTGTGGCTCGACTGGATATTTTGCGGCCGCCATCTTTGCTGACCGTTAGTCGGAGGATAGCCTAAAATTATAATGGTACCAGTAACTGTCTGATTGTATATCTATCTCAACTTTCCCCTGAGTGTCGAGTGTCGGCCAGAATCCCCTTGTAACTCCTCGCAGTGCCATTCTCCTCAGGCTGTAATTATCACACCATGTGAGAAGTTGTTTAGTTAACGCACCATATGGGAAGTTGTTTAGTTAATGCACCACGTGGGAAGTTGTTTAGTTAACGCACCATGTGGAACTGGGTATACTTATATGCACTAGTTAACATGTTGTTATGCTAGTGCATTTTGTGTTTAATCAGGACATGCTAAAACACTTAGAGCACATTTGTCTCCCACAAGGGGAGGGTATTGGGAACCCTGTAAATGTAATTTCCCATTATTTAGTTGAATTCACAGATGACTGACTAGGGCATCAGCTATGATCTTTGGGATTGAAAGAGTTAAGAACCGACATCTCAGTACTCGGGGATTTCCCTTAAATGGATTTGTTCATGTCATTGTCAGATTTGGCATAATATCCCAGATTTGTATAACCCAGCCAGCACTCAACGGGTTATGTAGTCAGCATCCCGTTGACCACCTTTACTTTCCAAGAGATTTCCTGTGCCCATTTTAGGCTGGTTGGATCTGATAGTGCCTTGATCTTAAAGAACATTTTCCAGTAACTATTTTGTGCTGGTTGATCTGGGATTGAACAGATTTTCTCCTTCATCTTCTTCTTCACTTTCACTGGCTGTAAACTCTGATGGAAAGTTCTGGTTGTTCATCCATTTCTGGACTGCAGTCCTATTCCACAACCTGAGTGTTTCGTGTGCATCCATTTGACAGATCTGACTCATTTGTATGCAGACTGTTAGTCCCCTGCCTGTCAGGAAGATGCATGCTGACTTCGAAGAATTGACATATGTATCTTGTGTACAGTATAAATCGTCCTGTGTCGGTTTGAAAAAAATAAAATAGGCAAAACAGGCTGCTTTCCAGAATAAATTATGTTGAAATAAGAATTGACATCACAGCACTTGGAACACTCCCATTAGTGGTCAGTCCCCATCAGAATCAATTACAGGATTAGGAAACTGCCCTGAAATTAATTTTTGGGTTAAGAACAGTGTTTTCTTTTTATGAATTTAAATTATGGGGAAACAAACAATATTGAAAGGATTCAAGTTTTGTGTTTCATGATATGTTGTTGTATACCCTATAGTAATACACCTGATGGGATACAGCGAAGTATGTCATGTAATACGTTGTTTGTTTGTATACTCAGTTTTTAAATATGTGTATTATTTGTGTAAGTCTTGTATGGCTTCTGTCACAACTCTGCTAACACTGCTCTACAATAACAGCTCTACTATTATAGCTCCACTAACATAGCATTGCTGTCACAACTCTGCTAACACAGCTCTACAATAACAGCTGTACTATTATAGATCCACTAACATAGCATTGCTGTCACAACTCTGCTAACACAGCTCCACTAACATAGCATTGCTATCACAACTCTGCTAACACAGCTCTACAATAACAGCTCTACTATTATAGTTCCACTAACATAGCATTGCTGTCACAACTCTGCTAACACAGCTCTACAATAACAGCTGTACTATTATAGCTCCACTAACATAGCATTGCTATCACAACTCTGCTAACACAGCTCTACAATAACAGCTGTACTATTATAGATCCACTAACATAGCATTGCTGTCACAACTCTGCTAACACAGCTCCACTAACATAGCATTGCTATCACAACTCTGCTAACACAGCTCTACAATAACAGCTCTACTATTATAGTTCCACTAACATAGCATTGCTGTCACAACTCTGCTAACACAGCTCTACAATAACAGCTGTACTATTATAGCTCCACTAACATAGCATTGCTATCACAACTCTGCTAACACAGCTCCACTAACATAGCATTGCTATCAGAACTCTGCTAACACAGCTCTACAATAACAGCTGTACTATTATAGATCCACTAACATAGCATTGCTATCACAACTCTGCTAACACAGCTCCACTAACATAGCATTGCTATCACAACTCTGCTAACACAGCTCTACAATAACAGCTCTACTATTATAGTTCCACTAACATAGCATTGCTATCACAACTCTACTAACACAGCTCTACAATGACAGCTCTACTATTATAGCTCCACTAACATAGCATTGCTATCACAACTCTGCTAACACAGCTCTACAATGACAGCTCTACTATTATAGCTCCACTAACATAGCATTGCTATCAGAACTCTGCTAACACAGCTCTACAATGACAGCTCTACTATTATAGCTCCACTAACATAGCATTGCAATCACAACTCTGCTAACACAGCTCTACAATGACAGCTGTACTATTATAGCTCCACTAACATAGCATTGCTATCACATCTCTGCTAACACAGCTCTACAATAACAGCTCTACTATTATAGCTCCACTAACATAGCATTGCTATCACAACTCTGCTAACACAGCTCTACAATGAAAGCTCTACTATTATAGCTCCACTAACATAGCATTGCTATCACAACTCTAGCATCACAGCCCCAGTATAATTGCTCCACTTTCATAGTTTTACTATAATTGCTCCACATGTATAGTTTCACTTTGACTGTTGCACCAGTACCTTTGTACTATTAGAGGCAAGCTCAAGGCTCTACTACCATAGTTCCAGCTTACTATCAAAACACCACTATCACAGTTTCATTATCACAACTCTAGTATCACAACTCTGCTGTCACAACTCTACTATCATGGCCCTACTATCACCTTTCTACTTTCACAGCATTGCTATCACAGCTTTACTATCACTGCTCTGTTTTCAAAGCTCCACTTTCACAGCTCTGCCATCACAGCTCCATTATCACAGCTCCTTTATCACAGCTCCACAGTCATAACCCTACTGTCACAGCTCTGCTTTCACAGCTCCAGTGTCATGGCTCTATTTTCACACTACCACTATAATAGCTCAAAGCTCAGCTGTCTCTAATATAATATGCCCTTTTATTTGATTTTGTTGTGCCCAGGTTACCAAGGCTATGCTTGTACAGATGATACAAATGCCCAGTCTGTGTCAGTACAGCTGGCTGCAGCCTGTCTGTTAACAATGTCCAATTTGTTCTTTGTTCCGGCTATCATCATTGCCATCAGAAGGCGGTACTTTGTTGAGGCTTTTGTTTACTCCTTCAACATGTTCTTCTCCACGGTAAGTTAGTATTATTATTATTATTGTAGTTTTATTACAATCCACAATCTGCAATCCCCTGCAGCATGTATCAGCTGACACACCTCCATGCCATGCAACAAGACTGTCAAGAATCTTCTCTCGTTGTCTTCTTCTGTCCCTCCTTCCAAGATCTTTCCAGTGGTCACACCATGTTCCATTTTCCTTCTTCTCATAACATGGCTGAAAAATGATGACTGTCTCCTTCTGATGTCTGTGATAAATTGCCTCTGGGCTCCCGTCTCTTTCAAAACCTCTTGGTTGCTCTTTTTGGCTGTCCAAAAATTTGAATAACAGCATGATATAATTAGGTAAGATTAACTTTTCCATTCTCTGCCACCATTGCATTTCAATTGTTGGAAATACCAATTGTGATGAAGGAGTGGGTGGCAGAGGAATCATAATGTCGGTCTTGCACACAATGAGACATGCATTCAGTCCTCATTTAGGTTCAAAGTTTTTTTATTTTTTAAATGCTTCTTCTTCCTTTTCTTTTTTTCTTCCTCTTCCATCTTCTTTTTTGGTGCTTATCATTCTGCTCTTTTTCATGCACCATAGAGATGTCAACCTGAATATATTTAAAGAAAGCAGCTACAGGCTGACATTAAAATATCCAGCCATCAATGATTTGCTTCCTTCAGATATGCTGCATGGATTTCAGACCACTTATTCAAATTTATCTCGTTGACATGCACCTGTTTTCTTCAGGCACCGTTTATGTTTTGATGACATTTAATATTTAATTAAGAATCAACAGCACAGCACTTGGAACATTTCCATAAGCGCTCCGTTCCCCCTCTTTAGCAGCAAGCAAGTGCAGAATTCCAACTCGCAGTTCCAAATAGCAGTCTGATTGTATATCTGTCTCTCCTTTCCCTTGTACTCCAGAATCATCTGTTGGGTCTTGCTAGCACCTGTTAACAGCCATTCCTGCCTGTTGGGTCTTGCTAGCACCTGCTAACAGCCATTCCTGCCTGTTGGGTCTTGCTAGCACCTGCTAACAGCCATTCCTGCCTGTTGGGTCTTGCTAGCACCTGCTAACAGCCATTCCTGCCTGTTGGGTCTTGCTAGCACCTGCTAACAGCCATTCCTGCCTGTTGGGTCTTGCTAGCACCTGCTAACAGCCATTCCTGCCTGTTGATTCTAATTTTATCATTTAGTTGCTGCCATACAGCAGCACACCTTTAGGCTAATCCGGTATATGGGAAAAGCACCCACATTTTTTACAGACCTTTTTGGCACTAGGTGGGTAATCTGGTCAGAATCACGCTGGCCATCATTACTTCCCCAGGACATACATCCTGGTACCCATTTTAGGCTAGGTCGACCTGCGATGCCCCGTACCATGATAAAAATCTATGCAGCCAGCAGTGGGTTTCGATCGTGGTACGTTGGAATTACAAGTCAGACTCGCAACACTTAAGCCACAGACGCCGCATCTAGTAGTTGATGAACAATAAAATTTCATTTGCTTTTCATTTATTGTTTAATTTTATTTCCTGAAAGGACTGTAACATAAAGAAAAGGACCCATGCTTTCAGTCTTGTTGGGCATATGGGCTACACCTGTACTGTACAGATTAATCGGTACTCTGTGGGTGATGTGATAAGGATCATGCCGGCCACCTTTACATCTAAGGACATTTCCTGCTACCCATCTTTAGAGGCACAAACATTTTTTAACATCAGATCTGCCTGGTGTGGATTCAAACCCAAGACTTTCAGATCTAGGCAAGCATGTAGCCACTAGGCTACCATGACTACCTGTGATAATAAATATGACTTCTGTAAATATATAAAGTAGTATTAATTTTTCTGTGAATTGAAATGGTAATAGGTAGACAAGAAGAAACCATATCAATTAAAGTAAAAATCACAGAAATAAAACAAAAATGTGAATTTAAATATCTAGGGTCATTTTTTCACCTCAGATGGAAGAATTGATAGAGAAATCAACATACGATGAGTGAAATTAAATCAGGTTATGGGACAATTAACACCGCTTCTGATGCATAGAAAGATACCTCTGTTAACCAAAGCAAATCTCATATGAACGGTTTTTCGGCCGACGTTGTACTACCAGTGCCAAACATGGACCCTTACTACAACTATTGAGCGGAAGATTGTAACAACAGAGATGAGAAGTCTTAGGAGAGCTGCCGGTGTGACAAGAAGAGATAAGATCAGGAATGAAGAAACTATAAGAATTCTAGGACTGACACCAGTCATACAATTCATTAAAGAACAACAAATGAGATGGTTTGGCTACCTGACGAGAATTCCTTGGTACCAACTGCAACAGAGAGCCATGCTGAAGAAATATAATGAACACAGAGCAAGGAGAAGACCACATGAGATATGGGACAACATCAACAGGAGAAACCAAACAAAAATGAACACCAGCTTCTACAATTGGAGAAAGCGCACAAATGATCCTTACATCTCCCCAAACACCTTGCTGAGATAAATGGTGGAAGAGAAGAAGAAAAGAAGTGAATTGTCAAACATGTCCCATTATTTCATAAGCTGAGTTTCACAGATTTTAACCTATTCACCAGAAGTTTCAGTAGACTCCATATTTACCTGTCCCCAGTTTTATCATGCTTGTGACGGCTCAAGACTGAACCGCTACCGTTTGTGCATCATTGAATATGATGTGCTACAGGTTGCTGATTTCTTTGGCTCTGCGTGTTCTTTGTGGATGACCCTTGTTGCAATGGCACGGATCAGGTGTGTATGTATATAACTGGTCAAAATATGTTAAATTTGCAGTAAAGTAAAAGTAGAGAACCCTATTCGAGCTTTTAGCACCTCTAGCATATAGGGCTAGGCCTGTATTTTGAGGACTAATCTGCGTCTGATGGGTGATGTGGTGAGCATCATGTAGGCCACCTTTACTTCCCAGGACCTTACCTGGTACCCATTTTAACTCTTTCAGTCCCAAGGAACGCATCCAACGTTCATAGGTTCCTCCCTAGAGACCTAATGAACCCACGATGCACCGATTTTACGTCTTTCTTGACCACCCCTTTGGCCATTGTTACTAAACCTCCTGGGACTCAAAGAGTTAACTCTTTCAGTCCCAGCAGATGCATTATTGGAAAAACAATCACAATGAATAAAACATTGGTGCATTACTTACACAGAAACAGCAAATGACATCTTTGTTGACGACATATTATACATGTAAAAAAAAAGAGCTGGTTTCTTAAGTATGTATGCGATCACATCAAGTGTTGCTTGGTAAATATGGACAATAACATACAGTGCAATGTTTAGGACTGAAAGTGTTTAGGCTGTCCTGATCTGAAAGCCAAGTAATTTTAATTGACAGAAAATCCCAAGTCACTTTTCATTTTAACACTAGATCCGTGATTCTCTGCCCCTGTCCACTCTCATTGCCACTCTGTGGTAATTCTCTGCCCCTGTCCACTCTCATTGCCACTCTGTGCTGTGGTAATTCTCTGCCCCTGTCCACTCTGTGGTAATTCTCTGCCCTTGTCCACTCTCATTGCCACTCTGTAGTAATTATCTGCCCCTGTCCACTCTCATTGCCACTCTGTAGTAATTCTCTGCCCCTGTCCACTCTCATTGCCACTCTGTGGTAATTCTCTGCCCCTGTCCACTCTTACTGCCACTCTGGTAATTCTCTGCCCCTGCCCACTCTCATTGCTACTCTGTGGTAATTCTCTGCCCCTGTCCACACTCATTGCCACTCTGTGGTAATTCTAGCTTTAAATCAGGGGTGGGCAAACTATGGCCCATGGGCCAAAACTAGTTCACCTAGCAATTTTTTTACGGACTTTCAAGGCTGCTAGAAAATTACTATGTCATCAGGCCCTTGAGCTAATAAAATGGCAGATTACAAAAACGTGCATTCACATATAATTATCCAAAAAAAGTGATTACCTAAACAGTGATCTGCAAAACAACCAGCTTGAACAGACACTTTAGGAATATATAGAAGGGCTTCAGTGGGTGAGTATGTCTGAAGAGGTACAGAAAATTGTGCAAGGCAGTAAATAATGAGAGCTGTTGTTTGTATCTTATTTGTATTAATTTACAAAGGGGAAACATTGCTTTGATTTTTTTCTGAAATGATCATATTGTCTTCTTTACTTTGTACATTGTTCTACATTGTTGTGTTTATGATAATGGGGACAAATTATTGACCTCAGCCTGTTGTTCATATATCTGCAGATATAAATATGTGACTCCTCTACTGCACGTCATGGGTCCATTTGGGCTTCTTGTAGGAGTTGTCTATGATAGAACCAGTCTGTGGGTTATAGCAGTTCCTATAGGATGTGGTCTAGTTGTCATTGTGGCATCATGGGTAAGTTTAGTGTGTTCTTGTTTAATTCTTTCGGTATCTAGTGAAAAAAAATTTTTTAAACTAACTGTGGAGCTTCAGAATTACTTAGAGCAGTATCAAACATCTCACCGTGCTTTTGCTGGGTTCTACATACATTACGCACTGGTCTGAACTTCTTATTCCACATGCATTTATTACATAACTCACCCTGTTACTTTAATTCCTTCTCTTAGATTTTCCAGAGACTAATTGTTTGTTCACCATTTTTCAAATGTATGGGATATTGCTTCTGTTTTATGTGTGGAGCTCAATTTATGTTATGCTTTACAGCTAATAGATACGTAAGTACTTAAGTCATATTTTCCAAATTATTTGTAAATAATGCAACCAACATAGTTGGATTCCACTTGCATAGTGAAATCCTTATTCCAGCCCTAACAGCTTCTAAGCCAAGGTATTATTTTAAGGTAAATTTTATAAATAAAAAGCGGTTAAAAGGATAAAAAATTTTAAGCATTTTTAGAACATGCCTTTTAATACGTTAAATTACTGTAACTTTTGTGTTTTTAGACATATATCTTAGCAACTGTAAATCATTATGTATGTGACAACAAGACCTATCAGAATACAACATTGTTTAGCAAATATTTTAATACATCTACATCATCCATATTAAACTTCCACTGCATCAGTACTGTACATCTCGCAGTGCCGCCATCTACCACCATTAGTTTTCAGTTGACTATTGTCGCACAGTAACTACGATTTAGGAATTGAGTTTTAAGTTAATGTTCAGCAACTTGTTGAAACTTTCCAAATATATGTTGAAATGATGCTAAGTTAAATTTTATAGAATTAACATTGACTGGGTATGCTAAATGTGTAAAAGAAATATAATAGACTGGCCTGGTTCATTACAACTTGGGACCGTTTGCTACCATTAGTATTCACTCAGCTGTTGCAGCAACACGGCACATATGATTTGAGAGTTGAGTTTAAAGACATTTTCCAAAAACTTGACTAGTTGAATTCTTTTTTAAAATACAAGTTGAAATGAATGCTAAATTAAATTGTTTAAGAATTCATATTGACTGGGGATGCATAATATTTAAAAATATATGAAATCACCGTCTGTTATAAACAGTTACAGCGCCATTTGCTGCTTTTTTACTGCTGCACTGCATCAAACAATTTGAGAATTATATTTTAGGAGCTTTTTAGTTAGCTCTGCATGATAAAATCCTGATAAAACTTTCCATATTATTGGGGAAATGAATGCAGTTTTTATTTTTATTTTATAGTGTTTACCAACAACTGATATATAGAAAAAAATTAAGTTACTTAAAGTTCTACTTACTTTTTAATAGGACAGTGGAGATCTCTTGACACACATTATTACTACTGGCACAATTATGTATTCAGCTAAGCATCATCATCATCATCAGGTGCCTTGCCGACTGGCGTGGGCGATCATGCCTCTCCATAATCTGCTATCTGCTGCAGCATGTATCAGTTCAGGTGCCGACACACCTCACAACATGTTCTATTTTCCCTCTTCTCATAACATGGCCGAAAAATTATGACTGTCTCCTTCTGATGTCTGTGATAAGTTGTCTTCAGGCTCCCGCCTCTTTCAAAACCTCTTGGTTGCTCTTTTTGGCTGTCCAAGGTATTCTAAGCATTCTTCTGTAAAACCACATCTCCGAGGCCTCCAGAAATTGTACTGATTGTCCAGCTAAGCATACAGAACTCAAAAGTTATCGATTCTGGTTAAATTGCTACATTGAAATAATCAGAGATTTTTACTTACCAGGTTAAATCCGCAGTGCACTTTTTATTTATTTACTAGGGGTATCACATGTCTTCCATCGCTGTCTGTTTACATTGACCGTGATGTGCCTAATATGTGTCATTTATAGGATTGTATTGTATAAACATGTGTATAAACTTATGAAAATTTGTAGGATTGTCCTACATTTTAATCAACATTTATAAGCATTCATTTGTCTTTTACTAAACCTCATTATGATGCATTAAGTTTTATGCAAATAGAATGTGTTATCAGGCTTAATTTTGTTTCAGGGTCATAAAATGTACAAAAGAAGAAAGCTTTATCCTTCCTGGCGACGCTATGTCTTTTACTTACTGCCTGGCCTAGTACTTGCTGCTGTTGGGGCCAGCGTTTTTTCATTTTTGGAAACTGAAGACAACTATAAATACGTACACAGTGTTTGGCACATGTGCATAGCCTTGAGTATATGTCTGTTTCTCCCTCCACGTCGTATAGGTGACTGTGGTAAGAACTGTTTTGTCAGCTTAATTTCTCAAGTTTTATGTGTAAGTTAGGTAGTTTTATGTTGTTGTTTTCAGTCCTAATTTGTTGTATGATAAAAGCACGCTGTGTTAACTAATAATATCAGTTAATTTTTATGTGTACATGTTACTTGGAAAGTAACTGCTCCCATTATATCTCCCCAGTTCTTATTCAAAATGTAGATAGTTTGCACACAGTATAACTGGAGGTTTCATTTTTATGTATTATTTCTCAACAATTCTTCATCCACGTCCGTAAAGTGTGAAAATAAGGCTTATATTCCTTCTGGAATCAGCTCGTCTTTTATGTGACCTCGTCCTGAATACACTCCAGCAATATGGCTAATTGCCATTAGGGCTGTATATTTAGTTCCCATGGTTGTCAGATATCTATAATTTTATTGTTGTCATTATGGTCTCTTTAATTATGACCTTCTAAAAAGTAAAATAAAAGATCTTTTGACACCTTTGATGCACAGGGCAAATGGTGCTTTACCCATTTTTTAGGTTTATATATAAAAGCATGAATCACACTTTATCGATAAGTGAAAACTTTATACCTCTGACTCTTATCCAGTGACTATTTTGTCTTTTCACAGGAAGTAAAATCGACACTCAGTCCAACACATCCAGAGAATGTCTCACACCTGCTATCAACTTAAACCTAACCGACACCGGTGAGGAGACCAATCCTGCTTTTGTTAATGAAGGCCCGTAATTCCCATCAATGTTTCTTCTATATTTAGAGGTTATCTGCCCATGTTTTTATGTTCCATAAATATTTCATTGAGTGCCTCTTTTTAATATTCAACCCCATATGTTTGTTTTTTTCTAACTCTGCACACTGACATTGGGATTAATGTGAAAATGAAAATATTTATGTATTTGCAGATCACTATGTATACAGACTGACATCAAATGACCTTTGTTACGTCAAGAATATTGCATTATAACTGTTGTTAAGTTTATATTTTGATTGTGCAATACCACAGTAGTGCAGCAATAGCCAAGTTCTATGTGTGTGCAGCGATTTCAATATGGGCTTTAATGTATGCATGAATAAAACCTGATGGTTTGGAAAGTACATAATCAAGCCAATCCAAATAATGGAAAAGTGTATTAGAAGACACATTAAGTTTAAACTGGAAAAGGAGGTAATTGAAAGTGTGTTAGGTTTGAATTGGAAAAGAAGATAAAGGAAATGTATATTAAAAATCACATTTTGTTTAAATTGGAAAAAGATAGTATAGGAAAAGTGTCTCAGAATATACTTTATATTAAACTTTAAAAGAAGATAATAGAAAAGCTTACTAGAAGACATTTCCAGTTTAAGTTTGAAAAAAAAATGATAGGAAGGTGTAATGAAAGACACATTAATTCTAAATTAGAAAAGAAGACAACAGAATAGTGTATTAGAAAGTACATTAAGTTTAACTTGGAACACACAAAAAAGCAATAGTAATGTGTATTTTATGAAATATTAGTTAATAGATCAATGATTGTACTGTTGACATAAATTGGGTTTCAGCCCGCCATTCCCTGTTGATGCCTCCATTTTGTTGAATGAAACAAATGTGCTAGGATGTACTTCTAGCTGGGTTGTTGTTTACACTGTTGTTGTTATCTCTTTCAAAGTTGTTTTCTGTATATTTTATTGTTTTTATTTCTTCTATTTTCTTTCTTCTCCTCCCTCTTTCTTTTTCCTCCTTTACCCTCTTCTCCTTTACCTTCTTCTCCTGTTCTTATATCTAGTTCATCTTCTTCTTTCTCTCTGCTTCCTCCTCATTGTTATTCTTCTGCTGCTTCTGACTTTTTCATTTGGCAAAAGCAATTTTGCCTGACCACTTCACAACCAAAATTAATTGTGCTGTGTGTTAATTTATGTGAGACCTTTGGTTTTTTTTTCCCTGTCAACTGTCCTGCTTTGCTTTCTTTATTATTCTTGAAGTTGTTATAAACTGTTCCAGTATTTAATTTTTGTTTTCTATTTTTTTTCATACCAACACAAAAATATAATAGGTTGTCTGTTAATTTAAGTATTTAACTTTTTCAAACCACATAGGACATCTAGTATGTACCCCTCAGCCGTCCTGAATTACTCTGGCAATTAATCTTACTTGTTACATTAATTCCAGTATTTATAATTTTTTTCATTCCGTGGCCAAAGAGTGAACATTGTTTCGTTGTAATATCAGTGACTTTTTAAGTTTGTTTTTACCTAATGTTCAGCATTTTAATCATGTTTGTTATTTAATTCTGTCAGTTTGTCTCATAACACCCATTTAATTTATTAAATAGGCATGTACTTTGCCTTTCATTTATATGGCTTGTAATTATTTTGTATCCTGGCCTTTCATTTATATGGCTTTAACTAGTTTGTATCCAGGTTTGTTTTTCATAAAAAGAAGCTAAAAATGAACAGAGCAGATGGCTTTCAACTAAAAAGTCAGGGAGAATACCCTTAATTGTGTATACTTAATTGTTAGTTCTTTTTTGTTTGTTGTTGTTGTTTTTTTGTTTATTATCAAACAAGGAAATTATAAAATAAATATGATCCATTTTATTATCAGTAAGAAACATGTTGGCCTGGTAGTTGGTGTACTAGCCTGCCTACATTTATGTCTGGGTTCAGTTCCTTCTTGTGACAAAAATATTTCTTAGTCACCTATTCTTAGTCTCTATTCTGTTGAATTGTACCTGTTTGATTCTCATCCTTGGGATGTTAATCTCACAGACTGAACTCATGGAGGAGGGAAAAAATGATTTAGTTTTCTTCTTCAACCACCACCATTCTTGGGCTAATGTGACCTCATAAAATTGACACTGTAATTTCTCTGAATCGTCTGCGGAAAGAATGGTGGTGAGGAAAAGAACTAGTCACCCTATTTATTAGCCAGAAGGCTTAGAACAGTTCTTCTCATTTAGCCAAGACTTGTGGATTCCACTTATTTTCAAAAGTTTGTCATGGACCCATGCTTTTTTTTTTGCTCTTAAAGTCCAAAGGAACGCAACAAACATTCATAGCTTCCTACCTAGAAGTCCAGTAAATACAAGGTGTGCCAATTTTATATTTCTCTTTACTAGACCTTGGGCCTGTGATTCTGAACCCCCTGGGATTGAATGAGTTAACAGATGTACTAAACAATGTATTCTAACTTATAATTAGCTGAGTTTACAACTGATATCACAGCCCTTGGGATACTCCCATAAGCACTCCATACTCATCTTCAGCATCCTGCATAAAGTTCCACTTGTTTAGCAGCAGTCTGATTATATGTCCTTGTTGCCTTTCTGCTAAGAGCAGAGTCATTCATATAGAGTGGGAACCCTTGATGCGTAGCAATATTATATATAATAAACAAAAATTACAACAAAAAAAGGATTGCATTCTAAAGTTGAGGGCTTTTAACAAAAAATTTTGATCACAGACCCCATAAATTTGTTTCTGTTGAGCTCTCAGATTCTGCAGACCAAAATTCTAAAATGACACAACCCCATTAGCAACAGTACTTGTCTAACCTCATAGGAAAGCTTTGCTGTGAAATCCAACCAACCATGAAGAAGTCTGTCTTTTTATTTTTATTTATTTTTTAGCTGTTTATTAAATGTTATAAAATGCATTTTTGATTTGTGTACCTGTAAAATACAAATATCTAAATTTTCTTTAAGGCTATGAAATTGATAAGAACCTGCCGTGCAATGGTAATGTATAATTTATTGATTGTAAGGCATTAGTGTCAGCATGAAGTTGATTATATATCATGGCTGTGGTAAATTATAATTCATTGATTGAAATATACTAGCATTAATGTGAAGTTGATGATACCCTTAGTCCCGACTGTGGTCAAGTAAAGTTTATTGATTGTAAGACATTGATTTAGTGTGAAGTTGATTATATTCTCATCAAGACTAAATAATAATTTGGTAATAAAATACATTAGCAACAGGGTGAAGTTGATGATGCTTTAGTCTTGACTGCAGTAACGTATAGTTGATTGATTTCAAACCTGCATCAGTGTGAAGTTTATTCTGTTCTAGTCATGGCTGTGGTTAACAGAGTTAATTGATTGGAATACGTTATCAGCAACAGGTTTCTAGTGAAATTGATGATACCCTCCCTAGTCAGGACTTACAGTAGGGTATAATTTGTTGATTGCATTTTTTGCATTATCTTTTACAAATTCAGAGTGAAGAAGATAACATAGTCAAGACTGGTAAAGTATAGTTAATTTATTCTTCTTCTTTCTTCTTTACGTCCTCTTTTGCTGCTTCAGGCATTAAGGGAGATACAAGGTCCTGCTTCGGGCTCTTCTGACTGCTTCGACCATTGGCACATCGTGGTGCTGTAGAGTTTCTCTGATGTTATCTTCTCATCTTGTTCTCGTCTACCTCTTGCTCTACGTCCCTCTCCTCTTTTGTTATATGCCGTGTATGGTACAGCATCAGAGGGTATTCTCTCCAAGTGAGCAAACCATTTGATTTGCTGTTTTTGTATTTAATTTGGTATTGGTTCTGTGCCGACTTCTTCTTGTATGATCTCAGTCTTAATTGTATCTCTTCTTGTCACTTCTACAGTCTTTCTCATACACCTCATTTCCATGGTTACTAATTTTTTTTTGTGTTTTGTTGTGATTGCCACGTCCGGCACTGGTAGCATAAGGTGGGAATGAATATGCTTTGTATGAGATGTCTCTTTGTTGGTGATTGGGATTGCCTTATGCTGTAAGAGGGTGGCTAGATGTCCCAGTACTTGGCCTGCTTTACTGCACTGGATGTCAATTTCTGCGTCCAATTTACTATCTTCAGTGAATGTTATTCCAGGATTTTTAAACTCAGATGCCTGTTTAACTTATGTATGCTCTAATGCTATATTTAAATTCTACTTCTTTCTTTCTATTGACATTACTTCTGACTTTTCTGTGTTGCAACAAGTGCGAATCATGCAGCATAAATCTTGTTAAATTTTCATAGATCCTGTTA